TACTTTTCTTAAAATATAATAATATATTAAAATATATATTTATTATTATAAATATAAATAATTTAAGTAGTCTTATTAAGCTATATTAAAAAACCTATATTTAATTATACTATTTATTATTCTTTATAAAATATAATACTTTAATTTTATATTATTTTTACTAATAGTATTATTAATATTATTAATATTTTAATAACTAAGATTTAAGGAGTTTAATATTATCCTTAATATTACCTATAAATTATTTAAAAAATATAGTATATTACTAAGGCACTTTATATACTTAGTAAAAGTATAAGCTAAAGTTATAGTTTTTTTTTAGCTTATTACTAACTAAAGACTATTAATAGTAATTATATTAAACTATAATAAAAATTAAATTAGTAACTTTTAAACTAAGTTTTTTAACTTTTTAAAAATATACTTTATTATAATAATAATATAATACTTAATTAAAAATAGTTAATTAAAGTTTATAAATATTATTATTAAGGCTATAATTTAATATTACTTTTTAGTTTTACTAAATAGCTATTAATTATTTATATTACTTATAATTTAATTATTACTAAATAATACTTTTATAAAATTTATTAAGTACTTATTAAATAAATTAATAATAGGCTTTTATTTTTAAATATTATTAATACTACTATATAAAGTATTAGTATTAACTATACTTAAAAATACTTTATTACTTAAATTCTTAAGAATACTAAGATAATATAAAACTTAAATAATAATAAATTTTATAAATACTAAATATAAGTAATAGTTTAATAAATATTACTAATAGCTTAAATTTTTAAAAAAAAACTAAGTTTACTTAAGACTTTATTATAAATATAAACTACTAAAATAATTATTAAAGTTTAAGTAGTAAAAGGTTAAATTATTAATTATTTACTAAAAAATTAATTTATATACCTTTTACCTTAATTTACTATTATATTAGAAAATTTATTTTATTATTTTAATTATATAATTAAAGTTAGCGCTAAGGGAAAATAACTTATTTAATAAATTATAGTAAAATATAATAAAGATATTATACCTTAAAGGTAATAATAAAAACTAAGAGTTATATAAAATTAAAAAACTATTAGCTAAATAAATTTTTTATAAATAAAAGTAATATTTAATTTAATAAGTAAAATAAAGTATAAAATTTAATAAATAATATAATAAAAATTTTTTAATAATTAATATAAAGGAATTAATAAATAAGTTTAATTTATAAAGCCTTATTTAATATTAGGGAGTATAAATATTATAAGCGCGCTATTAATAATAAATAAGATACTAGCTAGTAGTAATTCTGCCTAATACCTAGCTAATAAATAAGTAAATATATTATATACTATTAATATTATTATAATTTTCTTTATATTATTTTTTAATTTTTTTTTCCTTTTTTACCTTTACTTACCTTACTTTCCTAAGGCTTTTTATTATTATTTATACTACTATTTATTATTAATAATAAGTAATAATTATATTTATTATAATAACTTATATTAACCCTTACTTAAGACCTTAGTTATTTTTAAAATAAATTAAATATAAGTATATTTCTATTATATAAAGTTATATATATTATTTATATATTATAAAGGTTATTAAGGCTTATTAAAAATAGGCTATTAATATAATTATAAAAAACTAAGAATAATACTTTAAGTTAATTTAAAATAGTAAATTTATTAAGAAGGGATTAGCCCTTAAAGCCCTAAGTAACTATTAAGTTTATAAAAACCTTAATATAAAAGTAAGTTAAGTGTATTATATAATTCTTATAGTTATTTATTTAAAAAAGAAACTAAAAGTTTTTTAAGCTTACTTTATAATTACTTTTAAATTACTTAAAATTAATAATTTTACTATTAAATATTACTTTTATTATAAGGCCCCTTAAAAAAATTAAAAAAGAAAAAGTAGTAATATAATACTATAGTTAATTATTATATTACTTAGTAGTAATATAACTAGCTTATTTACTAAGAATTTCTTTAGTATTAGTAATAACTTTATAATAATATTACTTTTTAGTAATATTCCTTTATTATTATTTACTAATAGCTTAATATTTTTATTTATAAACTTAACTTTAATTACTAATTTTATAATATTTTTAATAACTTTAAACTTATTATTATTTTTAATTAATAACTTTACTATAATTATAGTAAAATACTAACTTAAGAAGTAACTCCTTAAATAAATTAAGAATATTAAAATAAAAATTAAGGAATTAAAATCTATTATAATATTAAAGCTTAATAATATTAATTATAAAATTACTTTATACTTTAAATTAGTTAAAAGTATATATAAGCTTTACTAAAAATACTTAGATAATATTAATATAAAAATTATATTTTCCCTTAACTAAATAATTAATAAGGTTAGTAATATAATAAATACCCTTAGACTTTATAAATTTTAAGTTAAGCTATATCCTTAATATAACTAAATAATTATTATTATTTAATAAACTTATAAGTAATTATTACTATTTAATAAATTTATAAAAAATAATAAAGTAAAATTAATTTTAGGATATTAGAATTTAATAATATTAAGAAGGAATTTATTTTTTTAAAACTATAAAGCTATAATACTAAAAACAGTGTTTTTTATATAATAGGGTAATTAACTTAATAAAAGTTATTAAGTTATAATAACTTACTTAATAAGTTATCCTTAGCTAAGTTATAAATAGTAGTTACTACTTATTAGTAAAATATTAAGCTTTTTACTTTAATAACCTTTTTTTTTTAAAACCCGCGTGATAAAATTTATTACCTTAATATATTATACTAAGGAATAGTATAAGGGTATTATTTTTCTATATAATTTAATTAACCTAAACACTTAAGAATATATTAGTAAGAGTTTTTTTAGTAAATTTATCTCTAGGGATTTTAATAAAACTATTTTTAATAAGCTTTACTATTAACTAGCCCTAAGGCTAATATTTTCTTTTATAATTTTTATTTTTTATTATAATAAAGGCTTTTAAAGTATAGTAATTTATATATAATATACTTATTATAGTATACTCTTAATTATAAAATAGCTAAAAAAGCAATAGTATAAAAAAAAAGGTTATTTATAAAAATATAATAGCTAGCTTTTTTTAACTTATTAACTAAGGAAAAAACTATAGCTTATATTAAAGCTAAGGTATTAAGGCCCTTTATACTTTTTTTTTTAAAAGGAATTAGTAAAAGTAATATATAAAATTTTTACTAAAGGAAATAGCTAGCTTAGGCTATAACTTACGCTTTAAAACTAATTAAAATTAGCTTTCTTTATATAATTATTATCTTATAAAACTTTCTTATATAATAGATTATATACTTATCTATAGCTATATTTATACCTAGGGTTTATAATATAGTTAATAAAGCTTATATATAATAAGATTATTATTTAACGCACTTAAAGCTTTTCCTAATAACTATAATTATAATTATTATAGGGTTAAAGATTTAAATTTACTATAGAATTTACTAAAACCTCTTATATAATATAAATTAAATAAAATTATAATTTAGCTATAATATTCTAGCTAAGGAAAGTTTTTAATAATCTTAAATATTAATTTCTTTATAAATTTTTATATAAATTAATATTTTAATTTATATATAAATCTTATTAACTAAAATAGGGCTTTATTTTAGCAGTAGCTTATATAAGCTAGCTAGCTAGGCTAAATTTATATATATTACCTATTCTTATATTAAGAAAATAAGTAGAAAATATTAAAAAAGTAATAATAGCGTTAGCAGTAAGGGATAAATAGCAGGAGCGTATTAGCTAACCTATAATAGCTTAAAATTATTATTCTTTATAATTATAACAGTAGGGTAAAGTAAAACTAATAATATTACATTTTTAACGCATTATAGGTCACTTAAAGCTTCTAGGTTTTTTTTTTTTTCCTTTTTTAGATCTAATTAATCTATTAAAAGGTATTTTTATAATAATTTACATAGTATTTTCTATAGCTTTCGTTCTATTAAGACCTAGGTTCCGATTGCGTACTGCGTTACTGACAAAGGTAGGTCGTTGTTAGATATATGCAATATGCCTTAGCTGCTTCAAAGGGATGCACCAGTCAAGGCCCCTGGACGCGGCTGTGGAGAATGGCTGCAAGACAGACCGCTCTGTCCGTGTGGGCTTGTGGACTGCCAACTGGAGAAGACGGATCGAAAAAAGAAAGAAAAGCGAGACTGAAGGTTGTTAAAGACGGGCACGGGCTAATTGCTGATGGAGCACATGCATACATGATACAGGTACGAGTGCAGCGGACAGACAGACAGACGGGCAGCTGAGACATGGCTGAGCTGAGCTGGCTTATAAAGTAGCTACTCGTACAACTTCAACGGCTGCATGTCACGATGCGATACGATGCCGGGGCAACTCACCGCCCAGTCCAGACCAGAACAATAAGCATCAGCCTCGATCGGTACCTGGCCAATTGACGCTGTTTTCCCATCCCCCGGCGGCTAACGACAGCGATTGCGTGTGTTCCTGCGGCTCGACCGGGTTTCTCGTGTTCGCCGTGCATGCAGCCAGATCGCCTGTTGCCGGGCCAACGCGCCACGCAAGCAATTTGTTTGGCTCGCCTTGCACAGCTGCAGCCGGTCCCACAGTGAGCATAGCATACCAGAGACGCATGTCGCCGTTCCCGCCTTTTAATCTTTATGCAGCTCAGCTCAGTTCAGTTCCTCAACTGCATCCAACTTCTTCACGACCTCTTTGCCGGGTGTCGTTTTTTTCTTTTCTTCTTTCTTTCTGACAGAAACGAACCAGGTCGCGTACAGCTTCAACCGAGATAACAGCCAATCCGCATGGTCGTGTCTCGACACCGCTCCTTGTCGGCTTTGGCTTGTTGTTGAAGATTGGTGGTGCAAGCAAGCCGTCCGCGTCTAGCAGCATTCCAAAAGCTCAAAACTAAAACACACGGCATTCCGCTGCAGTGATTGCTTACAATGGACCGCCGTCCTCCCGGCTATAGTCTCCCGCCGTACGACGACGAGCTCGACTCGCCCACCGGCCACGGAGCCGCCGCCGTCAGATTGTTGACATCTGTGGAAGAGTCCCCGGACAGAAGCAGAGACAGACCGTACGTAACACAGCCGTCGTCGCCAATGGCAACACCAACATTCCCAAATATGTCCTCTCCGTCCTCATCGACGTCGTCTTTGCAACCCAAGGACGCCTCGAAACTCCAAGGATCCAACCCCGAGACGTCCACCATGGCTATCGACGAGTGTCCAGGAGCCGCCTCGAGCTTGAAGACTAAGCAAGAGACGGAGATGCAAGCAGCAACCAAGGCGGATGCTCCCCTTCCTCCCCTTCCTCTTTCTTCTCCTTCTGTTCACAGTTCCCTCCCCCCTCTTGACGTTGTCGTCCCCCCTCCCCTCTACATCAGACAGGTTCGCAAGAACAACAACAACAACACTGCAAAGTTGCACAGTCCAAGAAGTTTGGCGCTCAATGACTCCCCAAATCTTGCCGAGGCTCTGCCAACTATCCCGGAGGGACCAAGTGAACGCTCCCGGCGAAGAAGAGGGAGTCTATCAGCATCGGACCAGCCACCTGCTCAACCACCTCTTCAACCAGCCCCCCAGCCGGCCGTGGTCGACGCTGTCGCAGCGGAACCAGCCGTGAAAAAGATGAGGCCCACTGTTAGATGGAAGATCAAAAGCTCACACGATAGGCCTATTAGTATGCGATCGCCCCGGCCTCAATATACTCCCAGCGTCGCATCCTCACACACTCGGACCGGGTCAATTCTGGACGATGCTCCTAGGATTCCGCCGCCAGATGCGTCTTACATGTCCTACGACACCAGGGACCCTTCTCACAGGCCGTGGTCGCCAGCGTCCAGACTGACGGATTACTCTCGCCCTCCCGCGTCTCATGCTTCGTATGAACCCTCGGACATCAACGGCAGCCCCAGGCCAGGAACCCCGTCCTCGAGATATGGCGGCAGTCCGCGCCGCCCTCTCCCGCCAGCTCCTCGCTTTGGCAACGCATCGCGCAACTCACAATTTACCGACGATGTGACCGTCTCCATCCCCTTGGACCATCGCGAAGATGACGATGACGTCTTTGGCCCCGAGTCAGACCTCAGCGAATCTCGCCGTTACGACAACTACGAGCACGAGCAGTATGATCACTATGACGAGGATGAGAGACACTATGACGATGACCGCGACTCATACCGCTCAGGTCAGGAGACATTGAGCGAGGAGCAGGAATACTATGACAAGTACGAGCACTATGGACCTGCGCCTGATGGAGCGCAAGAGAGGCGCGGTGTCCGCGCTCCGCAAATGGCGAAAAAGGAAGTCCCACTCATCAATGGTGAGCTGGTCTTGGAGTGCAAGATTCCAACCATCCTCTACAGCTTCCTCCCGCGCCGAGACGAGGTCGAGTTCACTCACATGAGGTACACCGCCGTGACGTGTGATCCCGATGACTTTGTCGACAGAGGCTACAAACTACGACAGAGCATTGGCCGGACGACTCGAGAGACGGAGCTGTTCATTTGCATCACCATGTACAACGAAGACGAGATTCTCTTTACCAGAACCATGTACGCCGTCATGAAGAACATTTCCCATTTCTGCTCTCGATCTCGATCTCGTACCTGGGGCGAGAATGGCTGGCAAAAGGTCGTTGTTTGCATCATCTCAGATGGTCGTGAGAAGATCCACCCACGCACACTCGACGCCTTGGCTGCCATGGGAGTCTACCAACATGGCATCGCCAAAAACTTTGTCAACAACAGAGCCGTGCAGGCACACGTCTACGAGTACACAACACAAGTCTCGCTCGATTCTGACCTCAAGTTCAAGGGTGCCGAAAAGGGCATTGTTCCGTGCCAAATCATCTTCTGTCTCAAGGAGAAGAACTCGCGCAAGCTCAACTCGCACCGATGGTTCTTTAATGCATTTGGCAAGGCCCTGAACCCCAACATTTGCATTCTACTCGATGTGGGAACTCGTCCCGGTGGCACTTCGCTGTACCATCTCTGGAAGGCCTTTGACTTTGACTCCAACGTTGCCGGAGCATGTGGTGAAATCAAGGCTCTGAAGGGCAAATACGGGTCATACCTGTTGAATCCTCTGGTTGCATCGCAAAACTTTGAGTACAAGATGTCCAACATCCTGGACAAGCCCCTCGAATCTGTGTTTGGTTACATCACCGTGTTGCCCGGTGCCCTCAGTGCCTACCGTTACCATGCGCTACAAAACGACGAGACTGGCCATGGGCCACTGAGCCAGTATTTCAAGGGTGAAACGCTCCACGGCCAACATGCGGATGTGTTCACAGCCAACATGTATCTGGCCGAAGATCGTATCCTTTGTTGGGAGCTCGTGGCCAAGCGAGGCGAGAGATGGGTGTTGAAATACGTCAAGGGTTGTCATGGAGAAACGGACGTCCCCGGTAAGTTTTCTACGAATAGCCCCGTAAGGATCAATGCAGTAAACTAACATGGCATTCCACAGACTCTGTTCCCGAGTTCATCTCTCAACGAAGAAGATGGCTGAACGGTGCCTTCTTTGCTGCTGTCTACTCACTTGTCCAAATGCGACAAATTCTGCAGACCGACCACACCCTTGCTCGCAAGGTCCTCTTGTACATTGAGTTTGTCTATCAGTTTGTCCAGCTGCTCTTCACCTACTTCTCTCTCGCAAACTTCTATCTGGCTTTTTACTTCGTCGCTGGTGGTCTAGCGGACAAACGAGTCGATCCGTTTGGACACGGCATTGGAAACATCATATTCATTATCCTGAGATACACGTGTATCTTGCTCATCGCTATCCAGTTCATCCTGTCTCTTGGAAATCGTCCACAGGGTGCAAGAAGACTCTACTTGGGCAGTATGATTATCTACAGCATCATCATGGTTTACACGACTTTTGCCATCTTTTACATTGTTGTAAGGCAATTCACGGACCCGGACAGTGGCGCTTCGATCTCGCTCGGTAATAACGTGTTTACGAATCTGATTGTCTCGTTGGCCTCGACGGTTGGTCTATATTTTGCCATGTCGTTCTTATACCTCGATCCCTGGCACATGTTTACCTCGGCCGGCCAATATTTCCTTCTGCTGCCGAGTTATATCTGCACCCTGCAAGTTTACGCCTTTTGCAATACCCACGACGTCACTTGGGGTACCAAGGGTGACAATGTGATGAAGACCGATCTGGGAGGCGCCGTCGGTAAGGGTGAAACTGTCGAGCTTGAAATGCCCAGCGAGCAGCTTGATATTGATAGCGGATACGACGAGGCTCTGCGTAATCTGCGTGACCGCATCGAGGTTCCGGAGAAGCCCCCGAGCGAGTCTCAGATGCAGGAAGACTACTACAAGAGCGTGCGAACATACATGGTTGTCTCGTGGATGATGCTCAACGCCATCCTCGCCATGGCCGTGTCCGAGGCGTACAGCGACAAGGGTATTGGCGACAACTTTTACCTTCGTTTCCTGCTTTGGAGCGTGGCGGGCTTGGCGGTTTTCCGTGCCATAGGATCAACCACGTTTGCCGTCATCAACCTCATCCACCTGATTGTCGAAGGCAGAATCCGCATGACGCTCAAGTTGCCGAGCTGGGCTGGCGGCATGGGCGAGAAGCTGAGCGAAACGATGAGCAGCGTGGGAAGTAGCATCACTAATACCCTTAGAACTTGATGCTGCCATTCCTCTTTTTTCTTTGTCTTTTTTCTTTTCCTAGACGTGTATGGATTTCCTTGCTTTGTTCTCCAAGGCCAATAGGTTTATATTTCCTCCTCTGTGGAAAGAGAGGTGGGTAGGGAGGTTGTCTGTTCTGTTCTGTTGGGCTTACCTTTCTTCCTTCATACTTATAAGAGTGGTTACGGTCGACGTATACGAGCTGGAGGGGGGTATGATGGTCTTTGGGTCTGTCTTTTAGGGGTGAAGGGGGTCTTGGGATTGATGAGTTGCCTCTTTCTTCTTTGTGTTGAAGGGAGGCACAAACGTTTGTTCATGTCGATAACTACTGTATGATGTATGTCTTGTCTATAATGAGGTTTTGATGGCTACTTATTTTCATGATGATTGAGTGCGGCATCACGGTACGCTTGGAGAAAGCTGAGTAGGTACTTTTGCTTTCTTATCTGCAATGAGAGAAATAGATTGTGAATGCCGGAATTGGCGAAAGTAATGTGTCTCTTCTCTTCTAAAAGGGGGGGTCTTGCACTCTTTGTCTCTACTCATGGTGGCAGTAAAGCATCGCGAGAGCCGCAATTATCTTGGGTTGACTGTGTTACCCGTTTGTTCTATAACTGAGGTGGGTGTTATTATGTTGTCTTAGGCCATGTGGTGGAGGATTACTGGAGTATAGTAGAAGCAACATATTCAGCTGGACCGGAGGAGTCTCTTAATTAGATAGTAACCCAGAGATTGTCCTGTTTCTGAAACCTTTCAAGTAGTAATTCCAGCTTAATAAAAGATGAACATTTAGGAAATGCTAGCCACTACTATAAATTTGCTGTTCAATATGCCATGTCTTGGATTTAAAGTAACACCAGTACGTTTCCACAATAAGTGCCTGTGATAGTATCAGGGACTAGCAATGTATAGCTATAGTAGCAGAGACTAGAGACAAATAGCCATAGTAGCAGATATCAAAGAAATATAGTAATAGTAGCAGATAGTGGTAATAGCAGCAAGTAATTGGAGAGCTGGTGTTGACTACCTGTAATGAAAGCGTGGTATCCTCAGCTTCTAGGTAGACCTGATACTCTGCCTTCATGGACTAATACCTCCTCTTTCCCTTCTGACGATAGCTATTTGTCTCTACCTAGGTAGTCTCTGCTACTATAGTTATACATCGCTAGTCTCCGATACTATTACAGGGAAACCCAGTCTGACCTTAAATGTACAGTACAAAATTGAGTTGAATGAGGTTTATGACATTGAGATTAGATCTCTTAAATAGAGAAAATATAACACCAAAACTGAACATCTATTCACCGACCTGCCCAGCTATCCCGGCAACGCATACACAACCCCGCGTGGCAGCGAGTAGTACAATCCCAAAGTCGTGGCAAATGGCTGTGAAGTTGAGCCTCACTGCCAAGTGGAATTGTTGAATTATAAACTTCAATAGCCTCTGGGCAATGAACCTTTTTCGTTTTCAACAGGAATGAACCCAGCATTCCCCAAGTCAATGTCGTCCCTGTGGACTTGGCCAAGTTCTGCAGGCTGGCGATTTGAGAAGAAAGCTTGTAAAGTCACAGACCAGCAATCCAGGAACAGGAATTATGGGACTGGACTAATACAAGAAAGAGAATGCCACAGCTAATGTACAATTTGATGAAGGGTTTTCGTTAAGGAGCTTTCATAGCTGCTGAATGGAAATACGAGACATTCATACATTTCATGTCGAGTGCTATCATGTATGCTTGTCGTTGACTCTTTAATTTTTGGTTATTTTATTTACCTTATTCATGCTCAGTCTTTATTTTATACACAACGATGAATGAGATGCTCTCAGTTGATATTCCAACGCCATAGTGATTTGCCCAAAAGATGAATTCATCTTTTTATTTATTTATTCATCCCATCCAACTCTTTCCTTGCGTCTTCTTCTCTACTCCTCATCCGGCTCCTCTTCTTCCGCAACCTGTCATCAGTTAGCAACATGTCACACAAAATCCAAAGCAAGGATATAAGAACTCACATTGTCGTGGAAGTTTTGTCCATCGGTAGTCTCGTTGATGAGACCAACACGAATGCAGAAATCACCAAACTTCTCTCCCTCCTGTCTCTCGAGCGCGTAACGCTTGAGCAGGGCCCTCATGATTGTCAAAATCTCATCCTCCTTGATGCTTGCGCGGTACAGCTTGTTTAGACGCTGGCCATGGTAACCACCGCCAAGGTACATGTTATAAGCGCCAAATGCCTTGCCGACAAAGGCGACTTCAGCAAGCCAGGGACGAGCACAGCCGTTGGGGCATCCAGTCATGCGCATGACGATGGAATCCTGACGAAGACCGTTCTCTTCGAGGCAGGCTTCGAGCTTGGTGATGAGCACGGGGAGATAACGCTCCGACTCAGCCATTGCGAGACCGCAAGTGGGGAAGGCGACACAGGCTGATGAGCTGAGGCGGAGGGCAGAGAACTGGAGGTTGTCGAGCTTGTACTTCTTCATGAGATCCTTCATGGCAGGGACATCTTCATCGGCAACGCCACTGAGGACGAGGTGCTGGTTACCGGTTAAGCGGAACTCGCCCTTGTGAACCTTGGCAATCTCGCGCAGACCAGTCTTCATCCGGAAATCAGGGGTGTCCTCAATACGGCCGTTTTCGATGAAGAATGTGAAGTGGTTAACGCCAAACTCGTCCTTTTGCCAGCCAAAAGTGTCGACGTTGCTCTTGAACTCGAAAGCCTTCGGTGCCTCGAACTTTTGACCCCACAGACCCTCAACCTTGCCCTTGAACACCTCGACGCCCATATCGTCAATGGTGTACTTGAGACGGGCGTGCTTTCGGTTCTTACGATCACCATGATCACGCTGGACAAGCATAATCTTCTCGCAGGCGAGGTGGATCTGCTCCTTGGGGACATAGCCAAACATGCGGCCAGTTTGGGGATACGTCTTCTTGTTGTTGTGAGTAGCGCCCATACCACCACCAGCAAGCACGTTGAAACCCTCCAAAGTGCCGTCCTTGTTTACAATGGCGATCAAACCAATGTCATGAGCATAGACATCAGTGTCGTTGTGAGGAGGGATAGCAACTGTAATCTTGAACTTTCGAGGTAGATAAGTAGGGCCATACAGCGGCTCAAAGTCTTGGACGGCATCACCAGCAACTTGGACCTTCTTTTCATTCTCGTCAGCTATCCAGATTTCGTGGTACGCACTCGTAGAAGGCAGCAAATGATTGCTGATCTTGGCAGCGTAAGACTGAACTTCTTCATGAAGCTTGGACTGAGAAGGCAAAGAGCTGCACATGACGTTACGGTTCACGTCACCGCAAGCGGCAATCGTGGTCATGAGAGCACGGTTGATGGCCTGCATGGTGGATCGTAGCTTGCCCTTGATAACACCGTGGAACTGGAAGGTTTGGCGAGTGGTGAGCTTCATCGTCTCGTTACCGAGCTTGCTGCTAATGTCGTCCATCTGGATCCACTGCGCGGCCGTCGCAACACCACCGGGCAATCTGCAGCGAACCATGAATCCATAGGCAGGCTCCAGGCCCTGGGCCTTTCTCTCGTCACGGACATCACGGTCGTCCTGAAGATAGGTGCCGTGGAACTTGGTCAGTTGAGAGTTGGCGGCGGAGATGGCTCCGGTGGATGTATCCCTCAGCTCTTCTGCAATGGTGCCACGGAGGAAGTTTGACTCGAGCTTGATGTCTTCATTGGTAACTGGCGGCGGCTCATCAGGGAGACCGTCGACCTTGTCCACACCGAGCGCCTGCCACAACTTGGGCTCCCACTCCTGGTAACCGGTCTGGAAGCTGTCCGGATCCTGGTCATCTCCTAAGCCAATGTCAACAAACCTCTTGCCGCCCAGGTTGCCCAGAACTCTGTCAAGATCCTTGGCTGGCTTGTTGTAGTAGATCTTGTCCTCCTTTCGCGGCCAGTAGTGACTATCACCCAGGCCAAAGACGGAGTAGTTGACGCCAGCCAGGTCGAGGTCGGTGTTGTCCTTTACGGCATCCCAGAAAGCCAATCCATTTTGAGGGAACTCTCCCTGTCCGGCGGTGGAGGTGATGAAGACGATGTTCTCCTCGCTTGGCAGATCCTCAACGGGGTAATCTTCCATAGCCATTGCCGCTGTCTTCAGGCCACGAGCTCTACCCCGGTTGGCCAACCGCTTGGCGAGCGTGCTGCCGTTACCGTTGTCAGAAGCAAACAATATGGTCAGGGGAGCACCCAGAAGCCCTTCGAGAAGCTGGTTGTAAGCATCCTTTGCCTTCCTCTTCTGTGCCGCCCGGACCTCAGTTCCAAAGTCCTGGCCAAGGTTGGCAGCAAAGCTAGGCTCCTTCTTCATGATTTGAGTCAGTTGGTTGTCTCGAGCCAGGAAAGCCTTCAGCTCTTGCTTGAGGAGCTCCGAGTCCAGGGAAAAGGCGGGCTCGCCCTTGGCCTCGTTATCAGGGTTCCACCTGTAGAGAGGCCAGTATCCAGCATCCACAGCCTTCTTGGTCTCCTGCAGAACGGTGAGAGGAGAGTCGGTCTCGCCAAAGTAGGGCAGATAAGCCAGAACAACTGACGGGCCGTTGAATTTGTCTGCCTCCAGTAGTGCCTGCAAAACTTGAGTGTATGAGCTGTAGACAGCAGTGGAAGCCACGTAGACATTGCCAAAGTTCATCGCGTACAGACCGATATCCTTCTTCCTTCGGTTGGCGTCGGCCACGGCCTTTTCGGAGTAGGGAGTCGAGTCAATAATCAGCATGTTCACATTTTCACCAGAGGCAAGAACGTGATGAACACCAGAGTTACCGAGATCATAAGCCCAAGCATCAGAGCCCATCAACCAGAGAGACTCCTTTCGGAAGAGACTACGGTTCGACAGAAGCTTCTGAGCTGCCGGTGAGCCATCTTCTTCCAACTTGGCAATAACGTCATCAGAGATCACGTCGGACTTTGCCTGGTCATCAGAGTTGACGGCCCATCGTGCCAGCCAACTCTTCAACGCCTCAGTAGCAGCTCCAGAGCTGCTTGCTGCTTGTTTAACCTCGGCCACAAACCTGGTTCGCAATTCCTTGCGGGCCAATAGAGATCCGAAGCCGAATTCGGGGCTGGCGGCCACAGTGGCAGAGATACCGGCGTTTTGGGATTCCAGGGCATTGGCAATGTAGGTTCTGCTGCCGAAAAGCTGGTCGAGAATCTTGGAATAGGCAACCTCGAGCTTCGGGGCCTCCAAGCCAGATGCTACTGGCTCCCTTGGTCCCTCCTTGACACCAACTTCCAAGTTCTGGATGGGCTGCGCAGCCGTGAGATTTTGAACGATGCCACGCAACGCCTGAGTAGTAGCCTCAGGGGCAATGTATCCCAGCTGGTGGCCAACAATGGTCTCAACACCACCTGGGCCACTCTTGATAGACGACAAAACGTCAATCAGCAAGGGACCCCATTTGGTTGTCTTTCGGTGAACCTGCTCTAGGACGGCGACCCTCTTGATCGACCTGGGGATGCTCGCCACGAGCTTGGAGCCAATCCAGGGTCGGTACAGGCGAGGTGTAAGAATACCAATCTTGGCATAAATGTCATCAGCCTTAGCACCGTCGATGGCTTGAGCAAAGGAGCCGGTGTCGGAGCCGAAGATGAAGAGACAGTTTTCTGCATTGGCCGGTCCAGTGTATTCGAAGGCATTGTATTGTCTCCCAAGGGCCGAGTTCAACTGTGCCCAGATGCGAGTGGCGCATACATAGACATCTTCGGATGTCACTTGGGGAGCAGCAATCTCTACAGTAGTGGCAACTGATGAGGATCCGGTAGGGGTGCTGGAGCTGCTTGCCTGGCTAGTCTTGGCAGACAACTCAGACACTACTTTCGAAGCGAGACTGGCGGTCGACTGCTGAAGGGTCGATGCTTTGTCGACGTTGCCAGAAGACTCGGGCTCCTGGTGGTCTGAGGAAACGGCAACATGTCCGTCATCGGCGTAGAGTCCAGAGGCCTTGATAGTGCCGGCCTGGAGTCTCCTGACAGTATCGATGTCAAGGACAGCTCGCAAAACTGAGAAATCTTCTAGGCCGATGGGCTCATCACGGGCTGAAGTGTCTGGGGAGAAGAAATGGATGACAGCCTTGCTCGTGCGCAGAGCTAGGGCGTGAGCGGTGATGGCCATGTCCTGCGCCTCCTGAAGAGACTCGGACTGCAAAAAGGTCCATCCTGAGTTTCTGATGGAAGTGATGACAGAGAAGTCGGCAAAGCCGCGAGGCTGGAGGGACACATGAAGGACAACAGGGTAGTTGGCGAGCTTGTAAAGATGAGAGATGGAAGGGAGTAAGATGGAAGAAGACGTCGTAACAGAGACGAGCTTGCCTGACCGAGCGGGAGCAAAGACAGACAGCAACGGGTCATTGTTATGGCGGATATGTTGTATCTAGACATCAGGTTGTGGTTAGTGAGCTCCTATTGCTGTTTGACCTTTTTTTTTTCGGACTGTCGGCAGACCAGGATCGGGTCGTCGTCATTGTAGTGGGTTGAATATGTAAGTGCGCAAAAGAGCGAAAGAACGACAAAACCAACAGGCAGCGGCGGTCAGACACTCACCTCAGGGATGGTATCTTCGGTAGCTGCAACAATTCCACGGTCCTTGCGGCCAGCAAACCGCTTCAGGTGAGAGGAAAACTCAGAGTCGGCAGCCAATGAAGGCTGGACAGAAATGACGACATCGCTGGAGAGGTAGGCGATTCTCGCAGCTACACAGACGAAAAAGCAACAGAGGAACAACGAGTTAGCCCAGCTTCGACGAGATTGATGTGTCTACAGTGATATTCAAGAAGAAGGGAGGTGGTAGAGAGGGAAGATATTCCCATCGTCCATAAGAGACACAAACTTACTGGCCTCTTCAGGCGTGCGAATGTGAACCGAGGTCGCCATGCCCTTTTTCGTCGTCGGCCTCTAGGATCAATCCAACGCTTTCGAGATGATGATCCCTAAAAGATGGAAAGAAGAGGCAAGTGACGATGCAGAAAGAGGAAAGAAAAGAGAGGGAAGGAGAAGTAAAAATCGAACAGCCCTTAGGAAGAGGCCTAGTGAACGACGATGTGAGAGGAATGGTGAGTTATAAGATGACTAGTCCACCAGTTCAACAAGCCATGTCACCCTCAGCCGATGCCGTAGCCGTCTCTTCTCGTTTTCCCTCCATCAATCGCTGCTGCTCTCCCCAAAGCTTTTCCTTTTCCCTTGAGCCATAACCATGTCTCGAGGCTCCACTGACTGCCTCAGCCAAATTTCCATTCCCCGCAGAAGCCCGAGTTTTGGAGGATTGCGTGATCGCTTAGCGCTTGGAGGTCTGCACAGTCTTGCGTGGGCGCCACCCGCCAAAGGGCAGCCATAGGACGGCGGCGATGGCGAAATCGCTCTCTGACAAATCCCTGCCGTCAGATTCGTTGCGGTGCGACGCGGGAATGCTGAGGCTTGGGAAGGGCGGATAATTGCTGGGGGTTTTGGAGATGGAGGTTTTACGTTGCAAAAGGTGCAACCCAAGCACTAAGGCATCAGGGTTGCTTAGATTTGATTTAGTAGTTAGATAAGCCAGACAAGGTAGAACCAAAAGGCACGATAAGTCGTACCGGCGTCGACTGACACAGGCTACTACCTACAGTACAATTGCTCATAAACCGTATACTCCGTGTCAATCCCGTAAATAGTGCCAAACATCACAAAATCTTGATCCTCACAAGCAGAAGCACAATCGTTGCTTGCTCGCTGACGCCATCAACACTAAACCCAGTTCAGCCCCTGATGGACCGCCGCTCTCGCCGCAATCATGCCGCATTGCCTCTATTCCAACAGCTTGTTCGACCGTCCATCGCTCATCCATCGTTGTTAGACTGCACCGGACCCTGGATTAGCCCTTCTGGCACCGTCCTTGCACCACCTTGGACCCATCAAAGCTGCCTCCGACTTCCGTTCTCTCACCCAAAGGCACCGACGAGCCGAGCCCACACTCACGTCCCCATTCGCTCATTCGTTCGTCTACCAGACTCAACCGCCCGGTAACGGCTGGCAGCCAATCGTTAGTACCTCCGAATGCCGAGAGATTTGCATGGCCCGGCCCTCGGCGTCTTGTCTGCCTGCCCAGGGCCCCAAATAAGCATACCGAATAGTGCTATTAATTATTGTATTAAATACGGCCACGCTCGTGACTACCCAAAACAGTGAAAACCCAACCTTGCCGAGATTTTTTCTCTCGATGATGAATCGCGGGGTTCCGATCGCGTCATTTCATACCCCAGTCTCTCCATTCACATCGTGTCTTTCCATCCCTATCGTTTCATCCCTTTCCCTCAACCTCAGTAACCGAAAGACTCTCCATCTACCGAGCATCAATCTCATACTTCGCCAGCCAGAGTTGCAACCGTGCTGGGTTTCCGGCTAACACCACCCTCGACCCATTCTCTCGCCTCAGAGTAATCCATCCAGTAGTTGCGTCCGAAAGACACCATCAGTCGACCGAGCTGACCCTTTCGCCCTTCACCGTCAGGCAGGTCCGCAGCAAAGGGACCCACGTGATCGTCGACGCCAGGTCCTTCAAGGATCATCAGTTGCATATACTTCTGCAGCACCTGGCGTGCAAAGTTCATGACGACCAGACTGAAGTAGACTCTGATCAGGGTCAAGCCAGTGATCAGTAGCATGCTGGCCGCGGTCTCTTGGGGTACAACATCGCCATGCACGGCCGTCTCGCGACGGAGACCCTCCATGCCCTCAGCAACCATATCAGGCAGACTGGATCCGTTTGACGAAGCAGTGGCGAAGTACCAGTCCATTCCAAAAGCCACTGTAGAAGCGCCGTTGATGAAGGCATCGATGACATACAGCCACGCCAGGGCCAGGCATTCGAACGGGCTCTGTTTTCGGATATGCGGGATCAGGTAGACGAGGAGGCCGAGAACGCCAATACAGTAAACGTAGGTCGTAAGCTGGAAGAGGGAGAGCTGGAATCCGGTAAGGATCGCAAGAAGACCGTAAACGCCCGTAACCTTGTTGAAGACCAGTGCCAAGGAAATCAACTCAGTGCCAGTCTGGAGGCTAATGAGGCCGAAGAGGGTCTGACCGTGACTGTCAGTACCATGATTTCATATTCTTTATCTCCTGAACCATCTTCCGACGGACGTCTCCCGTCACAGAGAGGGAGAGGGAGGGAGAGATGATTCCACGTGTGACCTACCTTCGGCCGAGGTATCCGCAGATACAGCCTCGTAAACTTGGACATTATGAACAGTGTTCCCGTCGCGATTGTCGTCTATACTGATAAAAAAAGAATTCCAAACAAATCTATCGCAAGACGAGACAAAGAACCAAAGTGAAGACGCCGAGAGATAGAGGATAACGGGGGTAAGCGTTGAGATCTTGAAAGTTTCGGCGACGGCGGAGATGATTGCGACCAGGAGAGCCTCCCAACAAGCGCGCTTACTGTAGCTGGATCTGTGCACAGGGTCCCACAACGGCAGTCATCCAGCCAGTCACATCGCGGCTGAGATGACGCAATCACATGATATATCACATGAGCCAGCTTCAGCTCGGGAAGCCCGTAGCGAACCAAAGCGAGGCCTCGCGAGCAGGGCAATTTTTTGTCGCTGGGCGCAGATCCACCATCACGTCACCGGGCGAAACATCCAAAGTCCCCTGTAGCTTCGCCTGTAGCCTCGTACCTTTCAGCCGTTGATGTCCATGCCCAGGCTTTGATAGTATCGTATTACTTGGTCTATCCAATAACATGAGCAGTTACACGCACATCATAACACTCTGTTGCACTCAATCGATCCACTAACTCTGCTGCTCCTCTGCAGATTCGCCAAGGTTCTTGTGTCTTAGTCAAACTTCCTCTCTGCGCTATATATCCCTTAGCTAAAAGGTTGGTAACCATTACACCGGGCGGTTCCGGATGAGGAGCTCTATTTTGCGGGAAGCCAACCACCTCTGGACTCTCAATAGGCCTGCAGTACGACTACCAGCTTCATCTTTTACTTCCGCAGTCCACCTGAACGAAGCCTTCTATTCAGTTAAACGTGCGCCGTTAGCACGCACTAACACCCAGCCTTTATACTCCGCAGAAACCCTACCCTGCAGCCGACGCATCCCAAACTCGGCCGGTATATCATCATTACTTTCATATTCACCAATTCGCACCATGGCTGGCAATGCATCCAATACTGCGGCTCTGATTGAGTCCGCAAAGAGGGCTGCCGCCTTCCAAGCCGTCGAGGACCACCTCTCCCCCACTGACAAGTTCGTCGGGATTGGATCTGGCAGCACTGTCGTCTATGTGGTGGAAGCTATTGCGGCCAAAGGGCCAAGCTTTTACGCCAACATGACGTTCATCCCCACGGGCAGCCAATCCAAAGGTCTGATTAGAGCAGCTGGATTGAAACTGTGCAACCTGGACGAGCGCCCTGTTGTGGACGGCGTGTCGGTGGCCTTGGACGTTGCCTTTGATGGTGCAGATGAGGTTGATGAAGACCTTAACCTCATCAAAGGAGGGGGTGCATGCCTCTTCCAAGAGAAGCTTGTCGCCGTAGCGGCTAGAAAATTCATAGCAGTTGCGGGTGCGTGGATATCTTACTATCTACCATGACTTGTCTCGAGTCGACTAACATCTTGTATAGATTCTCGCAAGCAATCACCCCGGTTGTGCACCAAGTGGAAGACCATTCCTATCGAGGTCCTCCCCCTCGCAGCTCCGGATGTCTTGAACCGTCTCAAGGCCATGGGCTCCCCTAACCCCGTTGTCCGTTCCGGCCTACCCAGCAAAGCCGGCGAGTGCGTGACTGACAATGGCATGTGGATCATCGACGCTCCTTTCCCGCCGCTGCTACTTCCCAAGGATCTGACGGCAGAGGTAGACGGCCAGGGTAAGAACGGAGCTTGGGAAATCGGAAGGCTGGCCGAGGAACTGGTCAAACTCCCTGGAATTGTGGAAATCGGCCTCTTCCACGGATTTAATGGAGTTCAGGCTGTTGGTCTGGGCAAGGAATTCCAAGCACAGAAGCCAGTTGCAGCTTACTTTGGCACGCCGAGCGGCGAGGTCCAGGTACAGAATGCAGCATAAGGGTACAATAGAAAGAGATGGGAACAAGCATCTGAGATGGGGGAAATAAACATGCATGGATAGGAAAAGGTCACACAATATCTTTCCCTTCCACTAGCGGGAAATGATGACAGGGAGCCAAAAAAAGAAGTGGTAGCGCTTAATTCAGCAAGTAAAAGATTATTAGTATGTGTATAACGATCGTGGGCACGTTGTCCCCGTTGCAGGTATTATACAAGTCCCATGCACTGGCCAAATTTCGAATTGATATCCTATTATTCGGCATTGATGCATCGTGACTGCGAAGCGACGCTGAAATGGGGATACTGGTCGGTTGTCTTGTCGGGCGTTTCAAACTCTATTACGAACTTAACATGTTGGCTTAGCACGAACAACCCTCCTGGGGAGGCGCTGTTGTGTTCGTCCGCACATCAATCACTGCGAAAGAAAGAAGGGTTAGTTGGAGTGCCACCAAAGAGTAATGAATCGGGATGCAACGGCATTATCCGTGCTGATGGGGTAGACATAAGGAGAGAGGGAAGAGAGAGAGAGAGAGAGAGAGAGAGAGAGAGAGAGAGAGAGAGAGAGAGAGAGAGAGAGAGAGAGAGAGAAAGGGACTTACTTTGGTTGGTTGCTTGGGCAGCTGCATCGGAGCCTTCCATGCCAGGCAGTGCCTGTGCTATCCTCTTGAAGAGGTTCTGTACGTTGTGGCCAAGCTTGGCACTTGTCTCAACAAATCTTAGACCTTGTCTCTTGGCCTCCTCCTCTCCCTGCTGGGTTGTGACCTCTCGCTTGTCGTTGAGATCGGTCTTGTTGCCCACCAGGACAATGATAACGTCGTTTCCTCTCTCCGCCCGGACGTCATCAATCCACTTCTTGGTGTTTTGGAATGATTTTGCGTCTAAGAAAAGATATGCGTTGTTAGTCTACGATGCGAACATGGTGGGGCTTCACCGCGAGTTTGGGGGGAGGGGGCGTTTCTGGCGGTATAAAGGGACAAGGCAGAGGGATTCCATACTAGAGATGTCGTAGACAACAACGGCAACGCTGGAGTCACGGATGTATGAAGGGATCAAGCTTCGGAATCGCTCTTGGCCTGCGGTATCCCACAGCTGTAGTCGTACCGTCCGATCCTCGAGATACATGGTCTGAGTCCACATGTTAGGCTCGTCCACCGGCAGCTTGGCTTGAACGGATCGGGGTTTTGTACCTTGGAGAGGAAGTCGATACCAATGGTTGCCTGATACATGTTGTCGAACGAGTCGTACATGAATCTGGTTATCAGAGACGTCTTGCCCACTATGCCGTAAACTCGGTCAGTCACCAAATCGACAGATGTAGTGTGGAGCCGGACAGGAGACACATACCGCTTTGTTCCCCTAAGAAGACCAGCCTGAACGGAAATCAGCATGAATGGCTGTCACGGAGTCAATGAATGGGCAAACGGGGACGCATACTTGAACTTCTTCAAGGGGTTGTTGTAGGATCCTCCGGTTTGCGCCATGGCTGCTGCTGCTGCTGCTGCTGCTGCGTGTAGTGGCGTGTGATGCTTGCTTGGAGATTCCGAGGCTGCCAAAACAAGGCCAGTTGGGTTGCTTTCTGGTGGGCAGAGGCAATGCCTGCAATTGTAATTGCGTTGCTGGTAGGGATTGCTTGGAGCTGAGTTCTTCTTGCTGCAAGACACAGGCCTCGGTTGTCTCCGGTATCGATCTCCTGCCTTTTGCTCGCGCTGGAAATGTTGGGCAACCTGAAAGGAGGTGACAATGATAATGACCGCCACCAGGCTCCGGGTTAATAAATACCTTAGCAGGCAAACCAAGAGCCACTTTGGGTTGGACAGCAGAAGAACTCGGCCTCCGCATGCCCCGCTATCCTAACTGTTCTCTACGCCCCCTCATTGGGACTAGCGTTCGAATGTTGTCTTTTTCCAGTTGCTTTTTGGCACGAGCAGGGAACGAAGGGACGAAGTACAATGTACTTGTGCTTTTCTATTTGGTGGGGGACCCGCTAAAAAATCTCGAAAAGTTGCTGATAAGATTCGATTGCCCAAAGGAAATTTGCGACTGGGACATCCTGCTATATTGCTACAGTGACTTGAAGCATCTCATCTCATACCTCATCCTAAACCAATCAATTGCACAAGAAACAGAAAATGCCTGTCCTTCGATCGGCCACCGCCGGCTCTGGCGAGGCGCCCAAGCAATTCAACCAGCCCTCCAGGAAAGGAAAAAAGGCGTGGAGGAAGAATGTGGATGTGACGGAGGTGGAAGAGGGCCTGCGAGAGGTCAACGACGAGATTATCCGAGGGTATGGAGTTTCCACGCTTGAAGATTCTCTGCAGGACAGGAGCTTGTGCTAACATCTTTGGCAGTGGTGTCATTCGAGAGAAGGCGTCCGAGGATCTCTTCACCATCGACATAGCAGGCGACTCCAAGATCCCCCAGAAATTTCCCAAGCACGTCAAGAAGGGCCTCAAGGCCGACGAGATCATCAATAAGCGCTCCTCCGTGCCCGCAGTCTCCATGCGCAAGCGTCCCGGCGACAAAACCACCGATGGAGTCATTCCCGCCAAGCGCCAGCGCACAGATTGGGTCTCCCACAAGGACCTGGCTCGTCTAAAGAAGGTTGCCGATGGGCATCACGAGAATACCGTTGCCGTCAGAGACGCCACGTTTGACCTATGGGATGGCCCTGCTGCGCCGGCGACCCAAGATCCCACGGATTTCCTGCCCGAGAAGACTGAGGCCAAAGTTCCAAAGTCCATGAAGCTGAAGCCCCTCTCTCTTCTCGCCAACGGCAAACAAGCTCCCGCAGTGCCAAAGCCCACGGGAGGATACAGTTACAACCCTTCTTTCCCAGAGTATGAGAGTCGACTCGCCGAAGAGAGCACCAAGGCTCTCGAAGCCGAGCAAAAACGCCTTGAAGCCGAAGCTGCTGAGGCCCAGAAACTAGAGGCTGCGGCTAGATCGGCCGCGGAAGCAGATGCCGCCGAAGAACGAGCCAATATGTCAGAGTGGGAAGAGGACTCTGAATGGGAGGGCTTTCAATCTGGCGTAGAGGACGAGAGGCCCAGTGCAAAGCAGCCCAAGCGCAAGACACAAGCCCAGCGGAACCGCATCAAGCGCAGAAAGGAGGAAGAGCAGCTGGCACAGCACAAGGCCAACATGAAGGCCCGCCGCGCGCAGGAGCAGCGCATCAAGGAAATTGCCGCGGAAGTCGCAGAAAAGGAGAAGCAAAACGCCCTCGTGCTGGCCCAGGCCGCCGAGCAAGACTCGGATGCCGACAGCGAGATTGGCGAGGAAAAGCTGCGGAGGAGGCAGCTGGGCAAGTACAAGCTCCCGGAGAAGGATCTGGAGCTTGTTCTGCCGGACGAGCTGCAGGAATCCCTGCGACTGCTCAAGCCCGAGGGAAACCTGCTCAAAGACCGATACAGAAGCTTGCTGCTCAGAGGAAAGGTGGAGAGCCGAAGACACATCCCGTTCAAGAAGCAGGCCAAGACCAAGGTTACGGAGAAGTGGACGCACAAAGACTTTGTTCTGTAGATGGATTGATGATAATTTTCTTTTTTTCTTTTCCTTCGTTTTTTTCAATCGCATATCCCTTTGAATTTCTTTTCCTCAAATAAACAGACATTAGATCATGGCGTCATAATATTTTCTTCGATAAAAAAACGGCTAGGAATGAAGACGCTTCTTCTACTATTTACTACAATTGAATGATATAAATCTCACGTCCATGCACAGATATCCAACCTCGATCCTAAATCCCGACACGTCCCTATAATTTTTGTATTCCTCCTGGGAATCTGAGAATATACACCTACCCTCGAGTCTTTTGCATTTTATCGCTGTCTGATGAACGCGTTCGTGCAACTATTAATTTATTCCGCTTCATGATCATGATATTAATCGCTTCAAAAAGCCACAAGATCTAGTATTCAATTGTCAGCTCTCAGGTCAATACGAGTGTATTATAACGGGTCAACAGTGAATAAAAGCATACCTCGACCGAATAATCCTCGCTTCATCCAGTCCATGGCCATCAAGCTCCTTGTCCGGAAGCTCACGCTCTGCGCAAAGTAGACCGACCTCCAGGCATACACGGCCCACAGCCCACCGGCCATGCTCCAGCCCTCTCCCAGGTCAAAGACGGCCGAGTTTCCGATATATGCTAGGCTGCCCAAGTGGCGGTATTCGAATGCCTTGTAGACGGCGGCGTCCAGGTCGCCATCTCGAATGTCGTTTGCCAGCATTGCGTCTGAGATTTTAGCCATCTTGTTGAATTTGTGGGCGAGGTACAACCCCTGCTGATGGGCACGCTGAGCCGTGGCCGGTAGCGACGTCAGCTTGCTATCAATCTGGTTCAAGAGCTCCCGAAGCTCGCCAAAGTCGAGGGTTCCGGATTGGTCCTTGTCAAACTCGAAAAAGAGCTTATCAAGACGCTTGAGATGGTTAACCGCCTGCGGGAAGCGCTTCTTTACGTCTTGTGCAACAGTCCGCCAGTCGGAGAAGTGCAGTTGAAGCGTCTCCGGCTCAATCCCACGCGACCAGGCGAGCTTACGGAGAAAGCTCACGATGCTGTCGGCAACGTTGTTCTGGACAGTGGAACAGTCGCCAATGGCATAGACATCGCCCAGAGGAGCACCGTTGAGGCGGAGGTGGGTGTCCGTTTCCAGCGCATGCCGATTCGTCTGGCTGTCGCCCAGCTTCTTGGCCAGCTTCTGGGATAGAGCGGTCGGAGAGACGCCGGTGGACCACAGGCAAAAGCCAATTGGCAGCTCTTTGGTGATCACAGTCCCATCCTCCTGCTTCTGGCTAAAGATGATCTTGTCAGGCTGAACCTCCTTGACTCGTGAATTCGTAAGAACTTCAACCTGGTCACGGGCAAACCGTTCCTCTGCATATTTGGAAACTGTCTCGTCGTACGTGTTCAGGATATGACCTCGACTCTGGATGATATGGACAGAGATCTCATTTCGCAGCAGACGAGGGAAGTGTCGAGTCAAGTCCTCGTTCAGAAGATCATAGAGCTCAGCGGCAAACTCGACGCCAGTCGGCCCACCGCCGCTAACGACGAAAGAAAGCAACCGCTTGCGCTCCTCGTCCGATGTGGTAGGCAGGCAGGCAAGCTCGAGATTCTGGATGACCTTGTTTCGAATCATCCGCGCGTCGTTGATATCCTTGAGGAAAAAGGCATTCTCCAACCCCTTGACGCCATGGGGATTTGTTGCGGAGCCGACGGCAACGACTAGCTTATCGTAGGGAACGTAGAAGCGAACCTCCTTTCCCCTGTGATCAAGCTGAGATACCTCGACCAGCTTATGGGAGAATTCGACGTCCTCTGCCTTGGCACGTATAAAGTGGCCGTTGACGCGGCTCAGTATCCGTCGAATGGGCTCAACCAGAGAGCGCAGCTCCAAGGTACCCACGGTAGCAGACGGTAGCATAGGGGTGAAGAGGAAGTAGTTGGCGGGAGAGATGACTGTGACGTTGTAGTCGTCCGGGTTCAAGTCCTTGAGAAGCGCCACGCCACCCCATCCGCCGCCTAGGATAACAAGCCTGGGTTTGGTCTTGGCCTTGGTCTCATCGTCATCGATGTAGACCTCTGCGATGGGTAGATTATTGGGGCCACCGCGGCGTGGCTGCAGCGCGAGCTGCGAGACATCAATATCGCTTTGTGTACCATGTTCTTTGTACGTGCTGGCATCGTAGAGGAAGAAGGCAAAGACACCGCCTCCGACGACGACAATAGAAATGCCAACCCACGCCGCCGCTCGGTAGAGGAAATTAAGCAGCCATGACTTGCGCTGGGGCAGCGGCTTTCCAGACAAGGCGCGAGAGAAGACGAGGCTAGGTCGAGGGTGTGATTGCAACTGGGGCTGCTCGATCGAATTGGCTGCCAAAGGGGTTCGTCTAGTTCGAGGGTAGAGCTTGGAGAAGGCCCGCAACTGCGAACATGTCGCGGGGAGGGTGGTTCGAGAGCTGAGGGAAAGACGCTGCTTGGTGATACTGCCCGCTGCCAGGCGAAGTGATCCCAGCTGTGCTGAGGCCAGAGGCATAGTCGACAACGAGTCAATGGAGTCGACGCGATTTACTTCATGGAGGCCTCAGGTGTGCCTCGCGCCAATTGATTGCTGGGGATTCGAATACGAATAGCTCGAAGCTTGTGTGTCACGTATGTACCCGGCTAGTGGTGTTGCAGGTAAGGTACTGCTAAGGTTAGTGGTTATAATCTGGGCGGGGGAGAAGAGAGAAGAGAAAAGTTGTTTTCTGCTTCTTGGTGTAGCAACATGTGACTTGGTACTATATCCAACAGTGAGAGATTTTATCATGGTTGGCCCTTTGTACTTGATATAGGCGGGCTACTCTGGATATGCCGGGCAAAGCTCATGGCGTCATAGCCTCCCAGGAATGGACACTAACTGATGTTCAGGTCCCCACTGGATCTTGAAAATAGCGACCAGGAACGCCGCCTGTGCCAACTAATCGGCCCACTGAAGCCGAGTTGGAGGGCGATTGTCCTTGTCCACGGACTTGTCGATTTTCATGTCACGGCGCGATTCGGCATCTCAACTGCTGAGTACTCCATAGTGGACATGATTACTCAATTACTACGTATGTTGATGGCAGATAATTGGAGATTGAATGACAGTGAGCTTGATTAATTGATTATTACTATTACGTGCGTGTTCGTATATCTATGCACTCGACTCGATGCAATGCCAATTGTGAGGCCAGGAAGCCAAGACGCAATGAAAATGCCCGCGACATATACCAACGGAGGGGGTCGGGAAAAAAGCGAAGAAAAACACAATGCCAACTAGACAAGGGGAAAAGATAAAAAGTCTGTCTCTCGCAGCCAGAATATCGCTCGCCGGCGAATGCAGGATCCATATTCACTGTTCGGTCATCGCGCACCGGAAGTCGGCCCTTTGAGCTTCGGCCTCGCGGAGATGCCGCGGTCGCCGACGTCGGTTTCGTCCCGGCAGCTCCTCCGACAGGCTGCGTACAAGCTTCAAGGGCAGCTTCAAAAACGCTGGTTCTCCATAACGTTCAATATGATTGCCACATGCCATGTGAAAACATCCACTGATGCCTTTACTTTACCTCACTTCATCATGCAAGCATTCATTCACACGCGCACTCACGCAGTTCATGTACACCCGTATCATCATCATCACCACCATCATCGAAGCATCATCGAAGCATCATCGTTGCTAGGAGCAAGCACCTGTTATTCCACCAGGTCGAAAAAGACAAGACTGGCCTCGTTGTATAATATGCAAGTAGTGTCATGTATGTTTAATGGTAGAATGCAGGCCACTCAGCAGCGAAAGTATCTCTTTTCAACCCAACGCTGCTCTGCATGGGGAAGGAGATTGCAAACCACGGCCGTGATCTCTGGGAACACCGTCATCAACCTATGCAAGCCAACTTTTCCTGCGGAATAAGTTGCCAAGACGATACGTTCCAGTGCAACGCCGTGGTCGACAAGAACTTGGACTGCCATCAGAGCTGCTCCTCCGCTAGCCATCTGCGTATCTAGCAGTAGCACGCTCTCATGCTTGTGGATATCTTCGGGAAGGCGCAGGTAGTGAAGTTCTGGTTCGCCGGTTGAATAGCTGGACTGGATCAGGAGGCGGCCTGTTCTGCAGTCCGGGATGGTTTTTCTCAGGGCGGGCTCAAAGGCCGACCCTCCTCGGAGCACAATCACGGCGCTAACCTCTCCCTTGGGTCGTAAACCGTTGTACGTATAACCAGGCGGCGTCTCAATGGCCGCTTCTTCAAACTGGACGTTGTTCAGAGCCCTGTAGTCAAGTCAACATACGTCACCCTATAGGACGAACATGCCTCTCTGGACCTACTGTTCAATGATTAAGGCAGCAAGGCGATCGAAGTAGAAGATGAAGTCTTCGGCCGACGTGTCTATGTCCTGAAGAATAGTGTTCATGAACTTGATTTGAGGCCCCTCGCTCATGACTACGACACGTTCGGATAGAGGCTCGTCTCTGTCTCTGACCTCAAGCCTAGCCAAAGCCTCACGATGATGAGTAGACTTCTCAAACAGCTTCTTTTCGATGAATTGAACCATCATATCTTTACATTGCCACTTAGTAAACTTGTCCAAAGAAAAACAACACACACACACATAGAAAGATCTCATGCAGGACCTGGCTTAGACTTACCAAGTGCCACTCGATTCTCGATTCCTCTGGGTACGATTAAGTCCGCTACTTTGCGTTGTGGCTCGACGAACTGATTCCCAACAGACAGGCTGTGGTAAGCGAGAGCTCCACCTCATAGGCAAACTGCAACTTGACTGGAAAGTCTCACCTTTTCAAAGTTGGGTTTCACGAAAGCGAACCACTGCTTTATGCAGCCCTCGACATCTCGACCTCGCTCCCGAACATCTCGAACAACTAGCATAAACGGTAAGCACTTGCACTTGACGGCAACTCTACGGGCAGGGAAAATGCCTACTTCTCCGCGACAGGCAGGTATCTGCATCTGCATCACAGTAGATCTAAAGCCAAGTCAGATGCTGTCTAACGGTATCGTCCGTGAGGCTGACTTACTCCCATATCACACAACTCACGAACCCGCGGATCGTAGAGGGCAAAAATGCCTTCCAAAACGAGTACGTGCGGGGAATAGATGGATGTGGTGTGTTCCAGTCGTGCATGCTTGGCAAAAGAATATACGGGAACCTCTGCTCGCTTTCTGCAGACGTTGAGTTAATGAGTGCGCCCAAAACATGTCTCATTAGTAGAAGGTCATGGTTACCCAGCTTTCAGATCTCGCAGAGTGTTAATCAGGGCATCGAAATCAATGGCCTACGTAAGTGGTCTAAGCGTCTGATCTTTGACGGAGATGGAGAAACGGCATCGGATCCAGGCGACGTACATCTGGAGAGTCGAAGTCGTACTCGTTGGCAAATGCCAGTTTGGATTGGGCAGGGGTCAATGTCTTATAGAACGAGTCCTGATTTGTCGTTAGCCACGGCATTTCGAATCTCCATGCTTCTCCCAGAGTGTTCATGCCATGGATAGAATGACAACCCAGGGCAGGTTGAGCTTCTTCACTATCGTCTGGGATAGCGTCGACTTGCCGGAGCCCGAGCTGCCAGCGACGGCGATGATGCTAACATCTGCCCATGGCGGAGAGTAGTAAGCTCGCTTCTGAACCGTGACATGGCTCTCGAGCTGCGACATTTCTACCGCCAGGACGTGGTTTGGGCTGTTGGCCGACAGGTCGTTGTTACGAGCAACGTCAGGCCAGGCACTGGGTTACGCTTTTGCTTTTATCCTCTAGTAGGTAAGATAGGGTACAAGAGTAGATGAAGTGGGAAGTGGCTCGCGTGATCCACCCCGCGAGTTTTTGCTGGCGCCAGTAGTGGTTGGGTAGATTGCTGCTGAGAGCTGGGAGCTGGGAGCTGGGAGCGGTTGCGAGAACAAAAGACGAAAAGACCGTGGAAAAACAAGCAAAGATCGATCGACACAACAGATGGCGGAACAGATCAGATGTAATCTGACGGTCAGGGTGCAGGACGAGATCTTATCTGGCTGCAGTCTGCTGTAGCCCACCGGAATCGAGGCTTCGAAGGCGTGGCACGGAGATGGCCGCTTCTACAGCTGGCCCGCTAACGTAACGGCGGATAGACCCCATCAAGCGACGCTTAAGCCGCCCTGATAGGTCTGATAGGGCTTGGTGAGGCACAAGCACCCAAACACTAAAGTACCTTACTGTAAGCATGTGCCGGTCAACTAACGCTCACATGGTCGGCGGCGTCTAGGCAGAGACCGCTAGGGCTTCTGGCAGCCTGGGAGGAGGGAAGCCGTGAAGTGAGGCTGCTGGCGGATGGGATGGCCTAGTGTGCAGAGCTGAACATGGTGGTTGTTGGCTTTTGATCAGCCAGCCTTGTCTCGTGCTCCCACTCCCATTTCTCTGTGTGCCGTGCCTTGCGTCCTTTCCTTTGACCGGCCACCAAATAGGAGACATGCACCAAGTTACGAGGTATCGATAGGTACCCAAAGGCTACGGCGTGCAGACGACTCTTGATTATTTCGAGCCTTAGTTTGCATGCTGCTGCCAGCCATTGGGAATTGATATCTGACGGAATGCCCACGAGTACGAGGATATACATTCGACAGAACAGGGACCAGGTACCTCGCAGCGGCTACCTGCACTAACTGAAGCCCTCCTAGAGAGCTGTTTGGCTTCAGCAACACCCGTTTTGCAATACCACACAATGTCCCGATATTATATCCATTTCTTTTGACTTAATTTTTGATGAAAAATTTTCTCACTCTCTCTTTTTTTTTCTTTGCTCTCCATTATCATCGCAAAGTGTTCCGTTACTGATGGAACCCCCCCAATTATTCAGTTTCACATGCCCCGTTCTACCATGCTCTTCTCGTGTTAGCTGCCACGGTCCCCCACCAGAGAGGGCAAACGCAGCCGCAAAAGCTTCTGTGGAGCGCTCGCGGGCGTCCGCGTCAGCTATTGGTCCGCCTGGATTACTGTAAACGGGCCCAGGCCACCTCCAAAAAGGGCAGTCGCTGCTCTTCCGCCTCTGCGCAAAATCGCTTCTCTTCCACATACCAAACTTTTCTCATCTCCCACCACTTTCGCCCTGTTCGCGAGCCCACGGTTCCACGACTCGGCTTGCCAATGCGCTGAAACGGTGGCATCCTCGGCTTCCTCTTTGGCTGCCCACGCACGCCATGAGCCTCCCTCTTCTCGCAAATCCGTCGCTGTCGCACCGTAACTAGAGCTGCTGCCGGCTTCCTGCGGGAGGGCCGTTGATCGGATCCATGGTACGATGCCGTGACGTCTCTGGACCTTGCACCCCGCTCCACGTCCTGACTCTCTGCGCAGATGTCGTCAGCTTCTACAGCTACTCCGGCTAAACATGCCTTTGAGAAGCGTGTCGAGAGGGTCAAGTCTCCCAAAAAGTACGTATGAGCTGCGGCCCAACCCTGACTTCTTCTCTCCCCGCCACTCTGCCATCTATATGATGAACAACTATATCAATGGGAATCTCTCCGAGACAATTTGTGCGGAAATCCGATATAATCTTCTTCTTTCCTGAACACTTCGAAAGCATTTTGTTATTCTTCTCTCTTGTCTGGTGCTGTAACTGGTACGGGTTATTGACAAGCTTTTAGCGATATTAATGCCTTGATTTTGGATTATTTGACCATGGAGGGCTACCCGAATGCGGCTGCAAGGTTCTCTAAAGAGGCAAACTTGCAGCCACAGCAGGATACCTCCGCCATCCGCGCCAGGCAGCAGATTCAGAACTGCATCCACAGCGGGAATATTCAGACTGCCATCGAGACTCTCAACGAACTTGATCCTGAGGTATGTGGCGCCATCACCCGCATTGAATTCCGCCCCCCACTCCTTATATGATTAAAACACGAGTTTTTACATGCACCACGCATATGGCCGGTTTACTGGCCCGTGATGAGAAACACCACTTTTTTATGATTTACCCACTTTCTATCCTTTGTTACCAATCGCATCTCGGCTTCGATTTCCAGTTCATCGATTCTAACATGGGATTTAGATTCTGGATGAAGATACCGCATTGCACTTTTCTCTACTGCGGCTTCAACTCGTCGAGTTAATCCGAGTGTGCACTGCATCATCAGGGGGAGATATTAGCCCTGCGCTGAAATTTGCTACGGAACAGCTTGGTCCGCGTGCTTCTACCAATCCTGCATTCTTGGAGGATCTGGAAACAACAATGGCTTTGCTGCTATTTAATCCCGACGTCTTGGAACCGCAATTGGCCGCTCTTCTCGACCCTGGTCTGCGCCGTGATGCAGCGGCCAAGGTGAACCGGGCCATCCTGGAAAGGCAATCAACCAGACGCGAGGCCGCCATTCGCCAGCTCGTCAAGATGCGAGCATGGGCAGAAGGTGCGGCGAGGGAGAAGGGCACCATCCTTCCCGACCGTCTCGATATAGGACTGAGAGGTGAAGAGTCCTCGAATCAAGCCTGGCGAGGTTCCAATTCAGAGAATGGACATGATTCCATGGTGACGACCTAAACAATCCAATGACGCTTATGAATCCCACGACCCCTATCAAATTGCAAATTGCAATTCTACTATAATGACAGTTAATTCACATAATATTTCGCAATTATTCGTCCACACTATCACATGCACAACGTGAAGCCGAATGGCAGCTACGCCTGTTATTACAGGGGTTTGGAGAAGACCAAGGCAGAATGCTTGAACCAATATTACTATGGAAAGCTCGCATAGAGCGGTTTTCTGCTAGCTCTTAAAGTAGAATTGGGGGGACAAGTCAGAACAGCAACACCGCTGCTTGGTCTTTAGAAGGCACACCCGTGAATCAGAATTTTAATACACTATTTCTTATCTAATATTTATGTGTCGGCATGCGAGTTTGATGCCCTATTTTGTTCGGATGTGCTTCAACTTCTTGGGTGAGTATAGGAAGTTGTTGGCGTATGCTTTAGGTGTAATCTTGCGCGAGTTGGGCTCCTGGACAAAGTACTCGTAGCCCTGCTTCTCTGCAAAATGAATGGCATCCTCCTTGGACTTGAAGTTGATGTGGGTTCCCTGCACGAAATCTCCCGAGGATTGCCATCCCATCAATGGGTTTTCCCATCGGTGTCCCTTGGGCAGAATATCCCAGTCCATTCGCCAGCGCTCGCCCCTGAAGTCGCCAGATTGTGTAGCTGGCTTTGTCTCCTTGTAGATACTAGATGATTGAATTAGAGGGGTGAATTTTTGAGACAAGCAGGTCGAAGATTAAACTAACCGGACCGTCCTTGCCTGGAGTTCGATAGGAGCACCCGAAATAGTAGCGGCAGCGAGAACGTCCTCAGTGCCATCCTGCACACGCTTGGGGACCGGAGAAAATGTGCTGTGCATCGTTAGCATCCGGTATCATCAACAGAAGAGGTGGAACAGCATCCGTACGAGGTAGCCTTGTCGACAGGTGCGTCGTAGTCGGGCTGGTTGGCGCTGGGCATGGCGGGAACAACATCGGCAGGCTTGCCCACTGTGCTCTCAAAACGGCGGGGCATGGAGGCCAAAGCTAGCCGCGGGCGCACGGCATTGCGCAGCAGGCGAGCTGCCGACTGAGTTCTGAGAGACGCCATGGCGAAGAAACTGTGCCTCTCAATTGAAGGAAAATGGTTGTTCGTGATGGCGATGATGGCGGTTTGCGGCCAATGTTCAACTGGCTGGGCCGGAAAATGGAGAGCGCTAATTGGGCGGTGCGGAGCGATGTTTTGCCGAGACGAGTGCTTTTCGGCAGAGAACCTCTCGGCTGCGAATAATGCAAATCCAGCGATTTATTGACGACCTTGCCATTGAGCGCCCATTCGACATTTGACGGCCAGACGCTGTTCATCGCCTTATTTTCGAGCGTTCTCCCTCGCAATCCGACATCATGAGCTTTGTCACTCGCCGAGCGCTTTCCACGCTCATTCCCCCCAAGGTGAGACTCTTTGGTGGCATGTCAATTCGTCCATGTCTGGTTGTGCTAATAAATGCCTGTGCAGATTGCCTCCCCCAAGGTATGAGATACTCTTAATGAGTGAAAACACCGCCGGACTATACATGTCGATATTCATCGAAGAAGACGCAACGCAGAAGGGCGGAAATGGGTTGTCGTGCGAGGAAGGCGGTTGCGAGCCTCCGATCCGATCGGATGGTGTGCGGGACAATGGAACATTGGGCTAATGAAGAATACTTGATGCTAGGCAATCGGTGCTGCTCCTGACGCTCTGCGTATGCAGCGTGTCGTCAGCTTCTACGAGAAGCTTCCCCGGGGTGCCGCCCCCGAGATCAAGGGCAAGGGTCTTCTCGGACGCTACCAGGCCAAGTACTTTGGCAAGAACGCCTCTGCTACACGTACGATATGACCCAAATCAAACGCTTTAGATGCGGAATACAAGCTAACATGCACCGAACTTGCAGCTATCGTTCACGCCCTGCTCTTCCTGATCGGCATCGGTTACGCTCAAAACTACTACTTCCACCTGCGTACGTACATCTGGTTATTTGTTATAGTCGATATCCCTTGGCTAATATCCTGCATAGGTCACCACAAGAACAATGCCCACTAAAGTACCTTGGAGGATGGTTTGTTGATGCCGCTCTCCAAATGATGAGTGGCTATGTAAATAGACTCTAGAACGGTGCTGGGATTTAACCACGCCCGTACTTCCTTATGTACTATCAGACACGCATTGAATTATCTTTTCCCTCTCTTACGCGATAATGCTGAAGTGATGTATGATGTCTGTTTCATTTGCCGGAACACTTCATATTCTCTTTGCTTCTTGCCTTGAATGGTTGTTATGCAGAAAGTGATTCTTTGATCAAAACCAGCCAGGACTAATTGAAAAAAAAAAGCCAACAACTGCCAAGTCTTTGAAAAGTGTGACTGGTCTTGTATAATCATTGTCAGCTGGTGAAATCGAATCAGCCTGAGCCTGATCGATCATCTAATGAGTCACTTCACAGGCACCTGCTGACGCTGACGGCCCGGCTGACTGACAGCAGCGTGAATACAGGGCGATTAGAAAGAGAATATATCCTTGCTTCTTTTTTTCGCTGGAAATATGTCACGGCAGCAATTGATGCTTTCAACCTGTTAGTATATGCAAGCCAGTTAGTTATTCAGCCCTGATGTGGTCAACAATTGGTATTAACATCGACTATTGATCGCCCTCTTCCCGGGGCATGCGTGCAAAAGTCATAGACACTGTGCAAAAGTTTAAACCCCCCCAAAAAGCTCCCAATAGGCACCTGAACAATAGGCGGGCGTAGCCCATTCTGGCTGCGTGCGGCTGTCCACAGTGGCAGTGACGCACGGGCCCCTAATCAGGCGGAACTTTCCCACTCAGCGCTAGGCCAGAACCAAGTTGTGCAGCTTCGAAAATCAGTCGCTTCCACCTCACCATCACGACTGCAGAACATCGCAGCCTTTCCTCTGCCAATCCCGACGACCAGACAGACCGACTCCTTCCACCGGTACCGACCCGCATTGCGAGGCCCTGGAAGAGAGGATTTCGCCCCGAAGCCTCCGCTGCCACGTGCGCCACCTTCGCCTACCTATTCTTCGATATTGCCAGCTCGTTGCACCTCGCGATCCGTCTCCCCCTCCTCCTCTTCTCCTCCACCCTTGTCGACACCGCGCTGCAGGCTAGCTTCTGAGTGTTGCTCAGGGCAGACAAGCACATTGTCAAGCCCCCCTTCCTAGGCGAACATATCGAGAGGCGATTCTGTTTTGGCTTTGGATTCTGGCGAGAGTTCGCATCTTACGGCTCCCACCGGCGCACACCTGCCACCACGACGGATGATGGCCACTGAGCCCTCCACCGACAACTCAGCTGATGTGTTTGCCTCGACTGAACCGCAATCTGTGAGGCGCCTCCTCTCGTGTTCTTCCAGAAGCTGCACGACGTCTTTGTAGCGGCGTCGGTGTGGACATGCTTCTCAACCCCCCATGTGTAACGGGACATTGTGTGCTCTGAGCTGTGCTAACGTGATGCTCTCTTTGACTTATCAGGCGCCCGACTCTCAACATGGCGAATTAGTCCCCCCAGCTGTAAACGGCGGCTCCCCACTCCCCGAAGACATCGCAAACAAGCGCATCTTGAGTGTCGAGGACCAGATCAATTCTGCCGACGTCAGTGTGAGTGGGGGGTCAGATACCGAGGCGTCGCGCGCAAAGGATGGCGACAAAGGACAGGGCCGCGCTGGGTCTTCGGCAAAGAAGCCTGCGACGTTCAAGGCCGTTTCTGTCAACAAGACGTTTTTAGCTTCCAAGGCGAATCCCAGCGTCTCGACCAAGACAAATGACAAGCCAGCTGCGGGCTCGAGTACCCCGCCGACGGGCTCCGCCACCTTGTCTATATCACGACCACGTCTGGTTGCAAAGTCCGGTAGCGGTACTGGCGCCTCATCTCCGCGGTTCTCATCACTAGCGAATGGCGGCAAGCCTGCTGCTGCACCCGATCCAAATGCTGTGTGGAACAAGAATAGGCGTAGGTGAAATTTGATGCTTTTAGAGGAGGTTTTGCTTGAACTAATCTCATGCTTGTTGTTTATAGCTGCTCCTGCCCCGGAGCCAAAGAAATTTACGGACGAAGAGCTCAAGAAGTATGGAATTCATATGGCTAGTCGCCTAAACGAAGAAGATACCCAAGGGCAAAATAAGTGGGCAGATATTGATGACGATGACGATGACTGGGCACCCGAGGCCATCACCTGGGGAGATGGCACCAAGACAACTCTTCCTCACCCCGACGAGACGGCGGCTCGAGCACCAGATCCTACGCCAGATGTAATCAAAAGCGTCGCTCAAGACAAGCCACCTTCTCCGGCACCACCAGGTGCAACCAGCACACCGGTGCCAAAATCAGGTGGCCTTCCGTCGGGGAAAGGCTTGGTTCTCAAGAGCGCCGCCCAGGAGAAGCCAGTTCTCGTAGCCAAGCCTCCAGCACCACCTGCGCCTGCTAAATCGCCATGGGCCACCTTGCCGCCTGTCGCAAAAACGTCACCTGGAGCTATCGAGGCTGCATATCCACCTCGGGGCGCTCTGAGAGAGTCATCTTTCGCCAGTACTATGGGCCCTCCACCCTCCCGAGACATGGCAGTAGATGATTATTCACGCTCGACTTGGAGAGACAGATCTTCCTATGGAAACAAGGAGCTCTTCAACTCTCGGTCCGGGCGATATGAGCCAGTTACCGATCGACGACCGTCAATGCGATCTGATTCTCAGACTAGGTATCCTGCCCTGTTACAGCGTGGTGCGCCTCCGCAAGACCACCCAGCCGAGCCTTCTGCCGCGTTTCAAACTAGTCGTACCGCCCAGGATGTGCCCTTTGGACGTCGCCGCGGCTCTTCCAACGTCAGCGGCGGTAGCGGATCATATTTGCAGCGGTTGAACAAGGGAAACGATGGCTCTATACCACCACCACCACCTGATTTTCTTGGTGTTCGGAGAGGCTCCCTAACGGGTTCCGTCCTAGAGAGTCCAGTCTCTCCCGTGGCAGGGTCTGTGATGAGTCAGGGACCGTCGAGACACCAGCCGTTGCCCTCTCCTGGAACAACTTATGCCGCTCCTCATCATGGAAACCCACATCTTGAGCATAATGCACCACCACCTCCCTCCCACCAGCTTGAAGATGACCTTGAATACCAGAAAAAGCTGATGCGTGAAGGCATCGAATCAGCCAGAAAAAGGAGGCAGGAGGAAGAGGCTCGGGAGGAGGCCGCACGCCGAGAGCGTATACAAAAGAAACTGGAAGCGATGGGACCTCCCCCTGAGAAGAAGAGCGAGGCGAAAGAGGCACCCAAGGATCACGGAGCGAAACCAACACCGAGTCAGCAACCGGCTCCTATTGAGCAAGGAGATGCGCCCACAGCAAAAGCAAAATCGAATCAAACAGATTCGGGCAAGGATAACGTAGCCGCCGTACCGCATATCGAGAAGCCCGGCTTCAGCCACAAAGACATTCCATCACCAGCACACATCGCCCCGCCTCCTGGGCCGACAGCTAGGCGACTATCTCACAGTCAAGACTCGGAACCTGCCAGCAACTGGGGCAACCGACCAGACCGGTTCTCGTCGTGGGTTGCTGGCACGCCACGGAATGTGTGGAGCTCCCCAGACAACGACAGCGGACTTGGAAATGGCACGTTCAATCCTCACCTTGGTCGTGCATCCGGCGCGCCCGCTCAGCCGACCTCGACGAATAATGCCCCTCCCCCCATAGCTCCTCCAACTACAGTTCAACCTTCTCATAGCCGCAACCAAGTACCCGCGCCAATTGGTTCGCGCGCTACGCGATATGGAAATCTGGGAACAGAGCTTGCCAGTAAATGGGTGACGGCCGTGGCTGAAAACGACAAGAGGATGAGTGCAGCGAAGTTGGCTGAACGAACAGCGCGTGAACGTCAGCTAGCCGAGCGCGGAGTCTCTGTAGAGGATGCTCAGCCAGTAATCAAAGACACATGGCGCCCTGTCCACATCCCTGGCGATGGCACCAGGCGTGCCGTAAGTTCCAGCGAGGTTCAGTCGAATATCACGGACGATTCCATTGCGGGTGGTCAACCTGCAGTTCTCGGAAATGGGGCCAGCAGTTCTGTCTTGCCTCCGAATGGCCCGACAACAACTCCCCAGTCGCGGCCCTCTCGGTTCTTCCCTGCCCGAGATGTTCGCACTGAAACGGGCATGGTTGAGCCTATCCGACCATCTTCACCATCTCCTCCCCCACCGACCATGGAAGGCCACCCGGTATACGAGGGAGATATTTCACGTCCACATGTGTCATTACCGAAGCCACAGCCAGTAGTCAAGCTGCCTCCTTCTATGGTTGCTTCTCAAGCACTACAGGCTAAGGCGAGCAACCCGTGGGTCAGCAGAGCTTCAGGAAGAGAAATATCACGCGCCCCTATCCCTCAAACTTACTCTGCGCGGCGTGTCTCCGAGACCTCGCAGGGAAATTGGCAGGATAAAATCAATACTCTTCTCAATGGTGGAAAAGCGTCTCCGCCGAAACATATGGGCATAGATCCTGCTAGTCGCAGTGCATTGGACCATACCACCAACCAGCACTCTACAACTGTATCTCTGCCTGTTGTAACAGTGCAACACCCCACAACCGTATCCATGCCTATTGCGATAGAACCACACTCAGCGGACGGCTCTTTGAGGCTGACTTCCAAGCCTATGGCGGAGGAATGCTTTGAAGAGCAGGAAATGGGCTCTCTGCCACGGATTAAGCTTCCGCACAAGGCACCAGAAGCAGCATGGCAGCCCGCGGCGGGGATAAAGCCAATGCCTAAGAGGTTCTTCATACAACCATCTCTTGTGGAGCCATACTTTTTCGCAGCAGAGGTTGTTGGCGGCGCAAATGCCGTGAGAATTCACTTTCCAGGGATGGGCGAGCCTAGGGTGGCCACCATCCCCCTTTCTGCGGCGAGAGGCGGGCGAGGGACTCATAGGCCGTCGTCACGACACCGTGGTGGTGGTCATGGGCCTCGGGGAGGCGGGGGAGGCGGAGGTAGTGGCAATGGCAGCAGCAAAAGAGAGTTCTCTAACAGCTACGGAGATGTTGCGAGTCAAAGCAGCACTGGCCGTGGCAGCCGGGGCGGATATCGTGGTCGCGGATCTGATAACTGGAGTCGGTTTTCGCAGCCTCGTGAGCAAGGTTCATCTGCTTAGTTGAGCTCTTTGCAAACACCTCTCAACGATCTTGTTGTGGAACTGGAGAAGGGGTCATCGCCGGCTCCTTGTGCACCGGCAACATACGAACCTTAAGAGTTCCTTTTTATTTTATCTTCCCCCCTACCTTGCCTCAGCTCAATGAGGTATTGATTGATACGATAGCTTCTGATTTCTCGCTATTCAGGAATGGAGAGGAGAGTTGACTTGTTCACTGTCTAGTTGTCTCTGTGTTACATTGAATCCGATTGTTTCGGATGGCTCAGAGACGTGTATGTACACCTTTGAACGCGTTTGTGATAGTACATGGTTTCTTAATGGTACCAAACCCAGTCAGTGTCCCTAGAGACACTGCAAAACAGAAAGGGGAAAGGAGGAGCAAAAAGGAAGAAGAAGAAAAGACGACTATTCCACCTGCAAAAAAAGGATCGCCCGTCTGCAATTAAGCTCGTTTAATCGGGTCAGATTCTCGTTGTTTTTTGTGTTCACCGTCTCTGCCTACCTACCTACCATCACGTACCAATCCTCCCCTTGAAAAAAAGGGACATCATCCGCAAGGGGCAAAAAGGATGGGAGAATCCTAAACAAAAAGAGAGAGAAGAAGAAAAATTCTATTTACAACTTCGCGTTCGTAGTGCAGTTTTGCAACACCATGGCAGAAAACCTTTTCTTCCTGATTTAATAGCTGGCCCTTTTGAGGTAAACGAGCTGTACGAGTACAGATTTGAAGTATGGAGGTTCTCTATCAGTATTCAATTCATGAGACGATGGATGAGGCATTTGGGCATGGCTTCTTTTGAAAAGGGATAAAAAACGGTCAGGCAACAGGTTACTCGTTCATATCATACATGCCGCGAAGTAGTGCAGTATTGTACAGAAACATAACAAAAATGTTTTGATTTTGCTCATTACGAAGAATCTCTCCCCCTGTCTTTCTAGGCATTGCAATGCGTAGTTTGATGTTTTCCTGATCCAACACGATTTTTTTCCATATATCGTAATTCTAATGCACCCCTTCCAACATCCTTTTCGACGCGTGTCTGTTTTGTTTTTATATATCCGTTCAACTCCAAATTCCCTTCATGCTCGTTATATCATCGCATTACCTATTCCTATCCCCTCCTCCCGTAGATCATGCTACCTCCAAATGGTAAGCATAGACAACTAGTTTAAACCGTGATTATAGAGCTGCCAGCGTATGGCTAAACGCTCGATGGAGATTCCGCCGTCCTAGTCTACATCTCTTCAACGGCACAGTTGGGATGTAGAACATAGATGACGTTCATAGGCGTTGAGGGACCTGCGCCCTCGGTGAGACCTTCGCCTCTGAGCGCCATGAATATTTTTTCCTATTGAAGAAAGCCGTGTTAGATTTCATGTGCATCTCATAAGAGGGGATATATGTAATTAGTAGCCTAAAAGGCGGCCGTAAAACTTACCTTGACCATCTTTTTCAGAACCATGTTCGCAAGAGTCTTCTCCCTGTTGTAGTCTTCTTCTCCGTCCATCTCTGCCTCTTTCTGCTCCAGATACCAGTTAATCAGGACGCTGCCCTCGACACCGTCGCCGGTGCCGGCCTCATCTTCGCTGATCCTCTGGACGAACATGTTCACCATTTGGATGTACATGTCGTAAGTGATGGTGTGCTTCTTCCTAGGCGCAACCTGTGATTCATCTTGGCCTTCGGCCATGGCCGCGTCACCTTCGTGATCCTCCACAGGGGTGACTCCAAGAGCAGCATCCTGAGCGCGGAGCAGTGTTTCGCCATCTTCCACAGCATCCTCTGTCTCCTCCATCTCAATATCATCGTGCTCAACAGATATAATACTCTGGCGCAGGAGGTTGTAGGCCTCGATGACGAATTCAGGGGAAATTTCCTCAACACAGTTGACCTTGGCAATGGCCTCGGACAGACGAATCATACTCTCCAGTTGACGAACAGTAATTCGATAAGAGTTCTTTCCGGCACCACCCTGGGCATCATCGGCTCGCAGCTCCTTGTATTTCTCAACAAGGGTTTCCCTCGCCTCATCTGTAAATTCGGGCCGGAATGTTTTCGCAAATCGGATATACCGCTGGAGCTGCTCCGTGCTAAATTCTGGAGTGATGGCCTCGTCACGGTGCTGGTGAACCCTAACGATGTGCTCAGAAAGATGACGGTCAAACTGCTCGGAGCATTCATCCAGAACAACAAAGAACAAATCGAAACGAGACATGATAGGTGCTGACATGTTGATGTTGGCACGCAGAGTGGTTTTCCGGTTATAGCGGCCTCCAACTGGATTGGCGGCAGCCAGGATACTTGTACGCGCATTGAGCGTTGCTTGGATACCCGCCTTTGCAATTGAGATTGTCTGCTGTTCCATAGCTTCGTGAATAGCAACTTGGTCAGCAATATCCATCTTGTCGAACTCGTCAATGGCGCAGATGCCATTGTCCGCAAGCATCAGTGCACCAGCCTCAATAGTAAACTCTCCCGTCTCCTCATCCTTGATTACAGCGGCCGTCAAACCGGCAGCAGACGAGGCTTTGCCGCTGGTGTACACTGCACGTGGCGCAAAGGAGCACACATATTTGAGGAATTGGGACTTGGATGTCGAAGGATCTCCAACGACGCAGATGTTGATGTCACCTCTCAACTGCATTCCTTCAGCCGTAGTCTTGCTGACACCAGACATGAGCTGCAAGAGGATACCCTTTTTGACCACCTCGTGTCCATACACTGTCGGCGCAATAGAATTGACCAGTCGAGAATAGATATGATCACCGTGGACCATGGCTCGCAGGTCTTCAATCTCGGATCGATTCATGGACGCCAGGACGGCGGCCTGAGCCTCTTCGACTGACTCGGCACCCTCGGAGATATTGCCATGATTCTGAGTAAGAGCATTGACAACGTCGATGGCGCCGCTGGCGGCGGATTGGCCAGTGGCGGTGGTATCTGGCGCGACCATGCACGCAAGGAATGCCAAGCGATATGTGAGATCTCGAACTCCGAGAGCCTTGAGACCTGAGATGCCGTTACCACCGACATCGGCTCCACGAGGGGCCCCGCGATCATCACGAACCGCCGTGGGCCGCAAGCCAGGAAGGCCGAGCTGGCTGACATCGGGCACCACAATCAGAGCGCCAGTGAAGATGCACTTTTCACCAGCCTTGGCACGATCGACAATCTCGCCTCTCAGAATGACATCCATGGTACGAGGCATACTACCCGTGGGAATCTCAGAGCTGTTTTCCTGGATGCGAACCTTTTGCCAATCAACAAATGTGCTATGACGGATATCCAATTGCCATGAGACACGATTTTGGCAAGTCTGATTGGGACATTGGGTTGGTTCAGTATATCGAAATGTTTGCTCGACATTGGGGACAACAGCACGACAAGCCTCGCAGACGAATGTGGCCAATGATAACTCGGGCCGAACCTCTGAGGTTCTCGTAACTGTGCCGGAGATGGAGAGCAGCTGGCCAATGTTGGCGGCTCTCAGGGCTCGAATGCGCGAGACAAGAGGCAGATTATAAAAGGCAATGGAAAAAAGCTTGTCCGTCTGTTGATGCTCGTTCTTCCTTTGGGATAAATCGCTTTGCGTTCCCGAACCAAACTGGCTGGCTCCAGAAGTGCTCAGCTTGCTGGATGTGGTGGCTTGTCGATGCTCGCGGAAATATTGTGGCTCATATTTTGCAATCATGTTATGCAATGCGGCGGTGAGGAAGGGGAGGAAACGATAGTATTGGCGGATAATACCGTCTGCCAGACTGCCATTCTCCCAAGAGGCAAGATGCTTGTAGTCGACGTAGAAGGTTGACAGTTGGTACGTTTTCATACCCCTTATCTGAGCAATGTAGTACTTGTTCGTTGTGACGGCACTCGAGGGGGGTGCGCTCGATGAAAGAGGAGCTTCAGCAAAGCTAAGAAACAATCACATTGGTTAGTCAGACGTCAATGCACAGGCAGTTCCAAGATGGCCTCACTTTTCAATGAAGCCCTCAAAGTGCTCCTGGACAAGCATGCCGATACGATCCTCCACCTTGGGAATACTAGCAGCATCCGGGATGCGCGAGCTGCGAGGGAGCTGGTCGTCGGCAAATCCATCAGCATCGCCATAGTCGTCTCGAGGAGTTCCCATGTTCTCTGACGGCGGGCCTCGGGGACGAGTTGATGAGGACGAGGGGAAACCTCCAGGCCGCCTCTGCGGGGCCAAGCCGTCCGACATCATGAAGTTGGAATCGCCGGGGGTGGCCATTGTGGCTTGTAGCGAAAGAATGGTCTAGAGAAGCTTCATTGAGGCTGCGAGCATGTGCATCAGCCGGGACGCTGCAGAGCTGAGGCAACGGAAGTCGCTGTGCAAAAAGCTGCGAAGATGGATTATCGTACCCAAATTTGGAGTCTGGGGTGGGTTGGGTTTAGAGGGGAACGACGCGTGTGGTTGAGTTTAGTAACAAAACTATAATATTCTTTAAACAAGTTTGGATGCTTATAATGGGGTACTTTATTTTCACCGCCTTCCGATAAGGAATAATCCGACGCTAGAGACATGTGATGCAGCTAGGAAATCGCCATATTCTGCCACTTTCTAAATCGCAATCTTGAATTTCTACAACTTTCTTCCATCCATTTCCCAACCACTCCAGCATTTCCATCATGGGTGGCGGCACTCCCCATGGCGAGCCATCCGTAGGCTCCGATACCCCCCGCCAAAAGGGCAAAGCAACCCCCGAGACACTCAAGACAGGCTGCATTGCCTGGGTCGAGAAAGATGGCCAGCCGCGACGAGCCGAAATCCTAAGCATTAAAGAAACAAAGTCTGGGAAGCACTATTACTGCAACTTTGACAACTTCAACAAGCGTCTGGATGAGTGGGTGCCGGTTGCGCGAATTGATTTCACTCAGGAAGTCGAATGGCCAAACCCCGAGAAAGACAAGCCCAAAGACTCGAAAACCAAAAAAGTCCCGTCAAATCAACCCAAGAAGTCGCAAGTTTCGAAGAAAGCGCAGAAGCGGCCTGGCAAACGCGAGCAATCGGTAAACAGCGAGGCCACTACACCACATCCATGGACGGGTAAGTTTTGGCTCCAATCCCCATCCAGCAATGATTTGGCGTTTTCAGATGGCAGTTGAAGTTGCTAACCACATGAACCATGCGCACAGATTTTGTCGAAACGCAGGGGCAACGAAAATCTTCATCGGTCGGACCAGAGGCAGACCCACAAGCGGGTGCCAGTTTCGAAGCGAGCGCAACACCAGGCGCAGGAGATGACCTGCTTGCCGATGAGAAGGAAGATGAAGGAAAGAAAGACGAACATGGCTTCAGCCGAGAGGAGGAAATTGAGAAACTGAGGACTTCGGGATCGATGACACAAAACCCGGCCGAAATATCGCGAATACGAAACATTTCAAAAGTTCAGTTTGGGAAAAACGACCTCTTCCCGTGGTACTTTTCGCCGTACCCCGAGATTTTTGCGCTAGAGGACGTTATATACATCTGCGAATTCTGCCTCAGCTACTATGGGGATGAATTCGCCTTCACGCGACACCGAAAGAAGTGTACGCTGCAGCATCCGCCGGGCAATGAGATCTATCGGGATGACTACGTCTCGTTCTTTGAGATTGATGGACGGCGGCAGCGGACTTGGTGCCGTAACCTTTGTCTTTTATCCAAGATGTTTCTGGACCACAAGACGCTCTACTACGATGTGGATCCATTTTTATTCTATGTCATGACGATGCGGACAGACAAGGGATGCCATATTGTAGGATACTTTTCCAAGGAAAAGGAAAGCGCGGATGCATACAACGTTGCTTGTATTCTGACACTTCCGCAATATCAGCGTAAGGGTTATGGCCGTCTCTTGATTCAGTTTTCATATGAGCTGTCCAAGATTGAAGGCAAACTGGGCTCCCCAGAGAAGCCTTTATCCGATCTTGGCCTTCTCAGTTATCGTCAATACTGGTCTGAGAACATTCTCGACTTACTGCTGGGCTACAATGAACGGGATGAGAAGGTGACGATTGAAGCAATCTCGACGGCGCTGGCGATGACCACACAGGACGTGGAGCACACGCTGCAGGCCATGAAGATGCAAGTGTATCATAAGAGTGATCACAAGATCGTGATTCCCGAGAGACTGATTGAGCAACGGGAGAAGCAAAAGTTGAAGCGGAAAAGGGTTCTCGATCCTCTCAAGATCCAGTGGAAGCCGCCAGTGTTTACAGCATCGAGCCGGACATGGGGTTGGTGATGTGAGTCCTCGAGGCTCATCGGAGCTGTTGGAATTTGGATCAAGCGTGTTGCTGTTATTAATTTGGTTGGAGACTTTTCCCCATGAAAGCCCAATGGGACTCACCTCATTATTTTGTTCTCTTGTGGTCTATATTTACGCCTGTACGATTGATTGATTGGTGATACCCGGACGTAGGATGGGCCAATGTATACATAATTCCATAGCAATTAAAGAAGGAAGAAAAAGAAAAAGATGAAGCTACCCCTGAATCTTTTCTCAGAACGTTGTATTCACACATAGCCTGCTCCGTGCTCCGTACCGATTCATTAGGTAGACTCCTTTTGAGTTGAATGATGGCTTTCAGATTAAAGGTATGACGTAGCAGTGTCGGTGCCATTTGTAGCTAGCTGGGGGCAGCTCTTACGGCTCCAGACTTTCTCCAGTAGCTCCGGATGCAGCACTCCGTAGTGGGGGATTGTCCTGTAGTGCATGCAGGGCCCGAATTGCCACATGGATCCATTGCTTTTTGCCCTGAACTTTCGTGTTCCAATTCATCTCACCATTGAACTCATTGACACTATTCCTGGTCGCCTCTGCTCTCCGATTCCCGGGGAGGAACGTCGCCTTGACTCTCCTCCCAACCCCTCCAACAGCTAGCCAGCATGTCTCTTTCGCTATTGGCGACCGCATTGCTGGGCATCGGCGCAGTGACGCCCGTCCATGGTCGAGGCGATTCGCAGATCCCGTTGCCCAACTACGCCGATGCGTGCCCCGATTATGCGCTTTACGCATCATATCCCCAGTTCGTTGACCCTTCATAGTGATGGTGGCTTGTACTCCGGGATCTGACAAGCACAGTCGTCCCTTTAGCACTGGCCCGCTCGCCTTGCCTTACCAGCGTCCCAACCCGCAGTGTCGGACGTTTCACTCAGACGAGATCGAGAGAGTCATCGAAGAGGTGACGTCGAGGATCAAGGATCCTGACCTGGCACGTCTGTTCGAGAACACCTTTCCCTCGACGACGGACACAACTGTCAAATTCCACACCAAGGGCGGCAAGAACACAGGCTTTGTCCCGGTTGATGGGCGTCGCTTGGACGATGGCGCATGGGAAGGACCCCAGTCCTTTATCATCACCGGCGATATCATTGCAGAGTGGCTGCGAGACTCGACAAACCAGCTGCGTCCCTACCAGGGCCTGGCCAAGAAAGACCCAGCCATCTTCGACCTGATCGTTGGGGCCATCAATACGCAATCCGAGTATGTCATCCAGTCGCCGTACTGCAATGCCTTCCAGCCGCCGCCCATCAGCGAATTGTCCGTCTCCGCCAACGGCCAGGATGACATAGTGCATCCGGCATACGAGCCGAGTGTCGTGTTCGAGTGCAAGTACGAGCTCGATTCTCTGGCGCACTTCCTGGCTTTGGCAAACGACTTTTACGAGGCCACTGGAGCTACTGACTTTGTGAACAAGCGGTGGCTTCTTGCCGTCGACACTCTGTTGCTGGTGCTGAAGCAGCAATCGGAACCGACTTTTCACGAGGAAACAGGCCAGTATGACAGAAATGCCTACACCTTCCAGCGGTGGACGAATACTGGCACCGAGACTCTCAATCTTCAGGGTGTCGGTAACCCCCTGAATAGCGGAACGGGGCTGGTTCGATCGGCATTCAGACCAAGTGACGATGCCACTATCCTGGGATTCTTCATCCCGGCGAATGCCATGATGTCTGTGGAGCTTGGTCGGGCTGCCAAGATGCTGCAGGCTGCGGGCAACAAGGCTCTGGCCACTAAGCTTGGTAAATGGAGCGAAAAGTTGCGCGCAGGCGTGCTGGAGCATGGTGTCGTCAAGCATAGAAAATACGGCGACGTGTTCGCTTACGAGGTTGACGGATATGGCTCTTCCATCTTGATGGACGACGCAAACTACCCTTCCCTTCTTGCCCTCCCAGTGATGGGCTTCTGCGACGTAGATGATCCGGTGTATCAGAACACGAGGAAGATGATACTGGATAAACAAGGCAACCCGTATTACCTGACGGGTAGAGGTTTTCAAGGAATTGGAGGTATGTTTTACCCATTCGCGGTGCTGGCAAAATGAAAAGTACGTGGCTCTAACTGTTTTCACTTGTTATAGGACCGCACATTGGTTTGAAGAACGCCTGGCCCATGAGTCTGCTGCTTCAGGCCCAAACGTCAAATGACGACAAGGAGATTAAAGAATGTATCGACATGGTGCTGAAGGCATCCCCGCGTGGCCTGATCCACGAGAGTGTCGATGTTAATTACGTGAGCCAGTATACGCGGAGCTGGTTTGCTTGGGCGAACGGAGTTTTCGCCGTGACGATTTTGGATTTGGCAAAGAGGAAGCCGCACTTGGTGTTTGGACCGGGAGCGGCGCCGTATGAGATGTGAAGAAATGTACATGAGCAAGTAAATGATTTCTAATACAGTATCCAATATTGAAAGCTGATGAAGTGCCGACTCGCGATTGAGATGCCTGGAGTAAATGAATGCTGGGAGCACGGCTGACTGCTTTCATGGTGTATTAAAAATCTACCAGAAATAGAGTCTTTGGTGTAACTATTATTATTGAGTTTCACATGCATGTTTGAGCTTCAATCAATCCTCCCCCATGAATTTGGCTTGTCTTTGAATGAGGCGTGTAAAAGCAAGCCTTTCTCATCTCACCCCACACTTTGTACTACCAACTCACCTCAAAACTCCTCACCCAGCCTCCTCTTTCACCTCACAACAACTGATAACTCTTCACAAACAGCTCATAGACGGCCAATAGGGCGTGTAGAGGCCCTTCGTTAGCTTGTGAGCCTCATCACCAATCGTTTCTTCTACAGGCTTAGCACTTACTCACCGGAGACAGCTACCTATGCCATCACTGCGCAATCTACGGCTCGGACTCTCTCCACTAACACAATTGAAAGCGCCGCTCTCACCCAGACTGCCAACTCCAAGACACATAGCAGCAACAACAGCCGTCAAAATGGCCAGCTCAGCGACTTCAGCAAAGAAGCAGCAAATCAATCTCTTGCGCGGATGGCCCTCGCCTCACCTGCTCCCCGCAGACCTCCTCTCAGCAGCCTGTCAGCGCGTGCTGGCCGATCCCGTCGAGAGCGTGCCGATTCTGCAGTACGCTCCCGACGAAGGCTACCAGCCGCTGAGGGAGAGACTGGCCCAGTGGCTCGGCCGGCATTACGGGGTTGGGCCCGACGCGAACCGCATCTGCATCACGGGCGGCGCGAGCCAGAATCTGGCTTGTGTCTTGCAGAGCTTCACGGATCCGCATTATACGAGGGCTGTGTGGATGGTTGCTCCGTGTTACCATTTGGCGGCTGCGATTTTTGAGGATTCGGGGTTTGCGGGAAGGTTGAGGGCTGTGCCGGAGGATGATGAGGGGATTGATATTGAGGAATTTGAGAGGAGAATAGAGGCATTGGAGAGTAAAGAGAGGATCGAGTCTCATCCAAAGGTAAGTTGAAGAGCATCGTTCCCACCACCAGAAATGCCTTGCGTGAGCACGCATTGCTATTCCATATTACTCAAGTCGTTCTATTGTATCTTGCGGTAAAGCTGACACTTTTCTTCTCCCCCCTTTTCCTCTTGGAATAGCCAAAGCCATTCAAGAATCCCGGTCCGTTTAGGAAGCTCTTTCGTCATGTCATCTACGCAGTGCCCACATGCTCGAATCCTTCCGGCAAGACAATGTCTATCCGACGTCGCGAGAGTCTTGTCAAACTTGCCCGCAAGTATGACGCCCTTGTCATCAGCGACGACGTCTACGATTTCCTACAATGGCCCCTCGACGGAGCCACAAGTCCCCAGCGGCCCCCGGAAATGAGGCTGCCGCGGCTATGTGACATCGACATGTCACTGGGCAGGGCGGAGAATGATCCTCGGGGCTTTGGGCACACGGTGAGTAACGGATCCTTTAGCAAGATTGCTGGACCGGGTGTTCGAACGGGATGGGCCGAGGGCACGCCGGCATTTGTTCTGGGACTGTCCAAGACGGGATCTTCCATGTCTGGCGGTGCACCCAGCCAGCTCTGTGCCGCGATGCTGGCTGATCTACTTCGGACTGGCGAGTTGGAGGATTTTATCGAGACCAAGACTCGATCGGTATTGCAGAGGCGACACAAGATCATGATGGATGCCGTGAAAGAGCATCTGGAGCCGCTTGGCGTCGTAGGCCGTGAATCAAGCGTCTCCGGCGAGGGTATCTACGGTGGCTACTTCGTATGGCTGAAGTTGACTCAGGGGCCGCCGGGTGTGCTCGTCTCTGATGCGGCTGTGAAGGAAGAGAACATCATCATTGGAAGAGGAGATATGTTTGCGGTTCGTGGAGACGAACAAGGGGCAAAGTTTGATCAGAATATTAGACTGTGCTTTTCCTGGGAGCCTGAAGAGGCTCTTGTTGACGGCGTCAGGAGGCTTGGGCTCTTGATTAAAAGGATGCAAGGAAACCTGGCTCATTATGAGACGATGGCGGCTCAAATCAAGGATAGTGATCGCCCTGTGAGCAGCTGGGTGTAGACTTGACTTTCATAAATTCAAGCAGGTAAAATACAATGAAAAAGTGTCACTTCAACTTTATACGCGTACATACGTTCCAAGAGTCGCTGGAATGCTGGATAGTCACTAACATAAAGCTCATCCTGTGTCGATAAAAGATAAAATAAACAAAGAGCTCTATCTCTTCTAATATGCTCGTCTAGAGTGGTACCGATATGCTACTATTTTTTAGCAAAGAATGACATGATGCTGCCTTGACTTCCACTTCCACTCTTTCCAGCTGCTGCCTTTTTTGACTTCTGAGTGGATGAAGCAGGAGTTGATGCAGGCGTCGGTTTTGTGGCTGCTGGTGGGGGAGCTTCATCTTCTGAGAAAGATTCCCACGCAGCCTCTTGGATAGTTACTATATGTGGAATTAGCAAATCTTTGACGCCAACGTGTACAAGAAACCTTACCCATATAGCCTTGGTCATCCAATATTCGCTTCTTTTTCATGACCCGTCGCTTGCCTCTTCGGCGGCCACCACCAGAATTTGATATCACTTCTGTGGGCTCTTTCTCCTCTTTAGGTTGTTGTTCGGGTTCGGGTTCGGGTTCAGGCTCCGCCTCAGAGGCCTCTTCCATTTCTTCGTCTGATTGCTCGTCTTCCTTCTTAGCTTCCTCCTTTATATCGTCGTCAGCATCCTCCATCATGCGCATAAGCTCCTCTTCACGTTGCTTTCTTGTTCGTTTTAGGGCCTCCAGGTCTATAGACTTCGAAGTGGGTAGGTCTTCGTCGTCGGCTTCGCCATCATCAGATAAAGCCATGCTGGTGTCTTCTTCCTTGGGTTTAGGCTCGGGCTTCGGCTTGGGAGGTTTTGCTGCTGCCTTGGCAAAGGACTGCATGATACCTCCAGTGGCACCTCCAGAGGCACCTCGCTTTAGTGCCGCAGGAGGCTTCTTCCCAGCACTGGATGACGGAGTTGCCTCAGCGGACGATACTTCTTTGCTCTCTTGCTTGACCTTTTCTGGTTGACTGGGCTTTGAAAGAGTTGGCGGCGCCTCTTGCTTGACTTTCTTGGGCGCTGAAGCGCTTGGAGTAGAGGCTGGAACGGGTGGGCGCCCCTTTCGGTCTTTTCTGCGTGCTTGAGGATTGGCAATTATTCCATAAGTGTCCAGCGTCTTTGCTGCATCCTCAATCTTCCTGTAGTCAGATAGCGACTTTGACACATCGGATAGTAGTGCTAGATCTCTTTGAGGAAAGGGAGCTAGACTGTAGATGTGGAAAGAAGTGACTTCTTCATATTCAGCCAGCGCATCTACGCGAACTATTAGTATGATTGCCAACGTCACTTATTGCCGTAACTCAGACCTTTGAGATTCTCTTCAGCCACTATTGTCACTGTTTTGGTAGGCGCATAATCAGAAAGAGGCTCAGGCTCTGGTACTGAGTTGTCCATATCGGTATCGCCAGTCTCTGGCTGCTTATGTTCCGTTTTGGAGCCATAGATTAAGTAGGTAGCATGGATCGAATCCGCTTTGGAAGCATTCTGACTCTGGTGAAATTCATAGAGCTTTCTAGCTTGAATATTAGGAACCAACGACCTTGGAATTGGGTGGGAAGTCGAATTACTGTTTAGCAACATTGACCCGAATATTGAGCACCCTGCTCAGCAGGCGATATGTCACCTACACCAAGCACCGGTTTTCAGATTAGCGATTCTCAACGGGTCTTGCAGCAATTGACAGATGCATCTACACATACCGGCACTTCCTCACTCAAGAGTCGGTCTGAAAGGTATTTTTTGGCATCATCCATGGCTGTTTGCTTGTCAAAAGACTCCGTACGATGGCATATGCAAGCTCACAGTCTCGACCTGATATCAAGCTTGCCTCTGATTTGGTCCCCACGCGTTCAGCACTTAACACGAACTCACGTGCCTGCCAATAGCTATTAATCGCTTTGATGCATATATACCGCTTTAAGGCAGACGGACGACCTTGAGGGACCGCCTCCGCGGCAGATTTTATATGCATCTAGTCTGTACATATCCATCTAACCATTAATCTCATGCCCCATCAACGCGTCAGTCGCGACGCCGGCGCATTCTGAACCAGTTTTGTATCCTGGTCGTTAGCCATCAGCCTTTTCTCTCTGTTCAGCGCCACTGTTCCATGTTCGAGAATAATCTGTCACCAATTGTGTCTTACTAAAAACACCCAACCAAGAGATATTGCACCACTGTCTTTTGGATACCTAGCTGGGAATTGCTCGCCTGGATGGCCTCCGACGATGTTCCAGATTCGACCGACTGGCTTTCGACGCCGTTGTCTGGCTTTGCCGCCGTGGAAGCCGCCCTGCGCTGCCAAGTATGCAAAGACTTTTACAAGACACCCATGATCACATCATGTTCGCATACGTTCTGCTCACTCTGCATCCGGAGAGCCCTCTCCAACGACGGCAAATGCCCAATGTGTCGTGCGACAGAACAAGAGCTCAAGCTTCGAAGCAACTGGTCGATGGAAGAAACAGTGGAAGCCTTTTCCAAGGCGCGGACGGCGGCGCTGAACCTTGCGCGGGATCAGGGAAATAGGGGTCAATCACCGAAAAGGAAAGCCGTCGAGATGTCGTCCGATATACACGAGCCTCACGAACCCAAGCGATTGCGCACATCGGCTAGATTGAGCAAAAGCAGAGGGGAGCAGTCAGTGGCAGCTATCCCGGTTCAAGAAGTTGAGGATCAGGTTGTCCCTGATTCAAATAATGACGATGATGACGAAGAATATGTACCAGAAGCTTGTAAGTTTAGAGACACAATTGTATTTCTTCAGACATCCTGCTGACGACACGCTCACATAGCGGGTGGCCTTGTTCCATGCCCATCCTGCAATAAAAAGATGAAAGAGTGGCAGGTATTTGGGCATTTAGAATCCTGTCCCGGCCCGTCAGCAGCAAACAATTCAAATAACACTGCCAACTCCGATAATACCTTTTCCTTCGGGCAGTCTCACCGGAGACAACAAAAGACGCTGGATAGGCTACCTCCCCTCAACTATTCCATGTTGAAAGAACAAGCACTGCGAAAGAAAATGGCGGACCTGGGCATCTCTAACCAAGGGCCCCGCATTCTTCTCGAAAAGCGCCATAAAGAGTGGCTGACATTATGGAACGCAAACTGCGATGCCGCTGTCCCGAAGAAGCGTTCAGAGCTGCTGCATGATTTGGAAGGCTGGGAGCGTACCCAGGGCGGCCGAGCGCCAACCACGGGGCGAGCGATCCAAACTGCGGCGGTAATAAAAGACAAGGAATTTGATGGAGCGGCTTGGGCAGCTAAGCATGATACTTCTTTCAAGGATCTGATTGCGAGCGCTCGGAAAAGTCGACTGGACGCAAAGAAGAAGACGGAAGAGGCTGAACAAGTGACTGGCGACCAGGCACAGAGTTCAGTAAATCAGTCTCTAGATCTGATGGTCATTTCGTCTTCTCAACCACCTGGTGGTGATCCATCGGCCCGAACAGAAAAAGAAAGCTCCGAAACTGCATCAAGGATGGAGTTGTTGACTTCTTCTCAAGTTTATCCCATGTCTCTAGATGTTTCACAACAACCGATAAACCCAACACCACCAGCAGATGCGTCGAGTAGAAGGAGTATAGCGGAGGCAGACAGATACTAAGCATATACATATTCTATTATTAATTAAATTGTACATCTGACTTGAGCATAGCCAGCTGCACATGATGAATATAATGAAGCATTACAGCGCGGCTTCCCTGCAAGGGGTTGCCATTTCACGACATTGACAAGACCTTTCCCTAATACCGTGACTGAAACAAACATTCGATTGATCCCGCTATTATCCCATTATGATGTATATGCATCAACTAATACGCCCAATGCCCATGCTCTGCAAATAGAATCAGGATACTGCCAGCCCACGAAATGTCCCGAATAGTAATCTTCCCATCCATTCTGCCTTTCTCCGCCTCAACCATCCAGTGTCAGCCTGCCAATGCCCGTTTCTCTAGTCGGCGATTGGGCCCCTATTCGCTCAGAGACATCTCCAGTAGGGACCGATGGAAGCTCATCCAAGTCTTTCATAGCCTTGGAAGCTTCTTTGGCCTCCTCTTTGCGGCGCTGCTTCTCTTCCTCCTCCTTGTTTTGCTCTCTCTCCATAGCCTCAAGCTCCTCATCTATCTCTTCTTCATCCACGATCATGCCCGTGGGCTCGGCCAATATGGCCGTAATTTCGTCTGTTGCACTCATTTGGTCTCGGAGACGGTCCATGGTGTTTTCAACCTTGTCCGCACTGCCAATCTGGGTGTTCAGGCTCTCCAGCGCATTAGCAGATGATTCCATAACCTTTACCAACTGGACCTGGTCGGAAGCCTGCTGCAGTTTGGACGCAACTTCTTCTAGCTGATGGAGAGTTGCGTAGCGTGTAGATAAGGAAGATTCGGCTCGCTTTTTCGATTTGAGCGCTGCCAAGGCGGCGACACGGTTTTTGCGTAGGACGGCATTCCTTGCCTCTTGATCGAGCTCATCAATCCGCCTATTAAGAAGATCAATCTGGTGTTCCAAGTTGCTTGCCAGCTCCTTTATAGATGCGATAGAGGAATCTCCTTCCGTAATCCCCCTTGCTTCGCCACTTGCTCTGATGCGGACGGTATTGCCATCGTATTCAATCATATCTTTGTCTCGAGATAGAAACTTCAACAATACGTCGGTGTCGGTATCGGATAGCCGCTGTTCCTTGGCCAGAACTGATGTAAATAATGCTTGGAACTGGCCTCTTGTAAAGACTCGGTCGTATCTTGGTGCTTTTTCAGCGATCCTCTCCCCCAGCTCCCGGCTGGCCGTTTCCACATTCTTCATGACTACATAATTGCCCTTGGGCATCTTGTCTTCACCTCGAGAGGGATCAATAACTCCTAGCTGACGTAGAGCCCATCCCATCACGTTCCACGGCACCTGCGACCAGCTCTGTTGATATATACTCTGATTCGATTGTAGGAAGCTCTGGAGCGGAATCAGATCCTTCTGCGCCAGCGCTTCGTTTATCACAGTACCCAGCGCCAACGGCTGACCAAACTGCTTGCTATCTAGCGACCGTCGTAGCGACTCGTCAAGGTCAAACACAAGGGCGCTGGATTTGGAGCCCTGGCGGGACAAGAGCCCATCGGATGCTAACCGCGCCAGGGCCAGCAGCCAAGCAGAGATGTTTGCTTGGTAGCCATCCGGATTCAGCGTCTTTTGCGATCGGAAATCGGAGTACAGAGCAGGAAGCCGAGCCCTATCAAAGACTGTTAGTGTCATGTATCATCAATAGGGGACAGACGTGCAATGAAATCACAATGGGTATCTGCCTACTTGCGGAAGTTGGGGTCGTTCTGGACGAGGTAATCAGAAAGCTCGCCCATTTCGATTCCCAACGCGAACGGCGACGGCTCTTCTGCTTCTTCAAACTTCAAATTATATCTCGAGTATATCGCCGCTCGGTTACAATGACATTGGCAGAAGAAGTTGACTAATGGCGTCTCGCGACCGAGATAAAGTTGTTAACGGGGGTTGATTTGGTGTGATGACGGTTCCGGGATTGTTAGTGGGAGATGCCGCTAAGGCGCCTGAGTTTAGTGCCCGATGATTTGGGGAGCATGTGATTACAAGACACAGCCGTGTTACTACTGGTATTCCAACCTCCAAATATATCAACTTCTCGACTGATATCTTTTCTTTAGTGATTTTACTTTTCCTGATATTCATGTTACTATACTCTATGATGGCTAATACAAATGCATGTACTTCTTATAGCTGTTAGTAAAGCACACAAATTACCATCCATGGCTCGCATCAAATGAGAGCCTACAATGTAAACCACAAGAGGCTATGCATTATTCACATCGTCCAAGTATTCGTAAACCCAACGAAAGGCCTGCCTTCCATTCATCTACACGCTGAACTTATAGATACAGGATCGCTAAAGTGAATCGTTTGATTAGTCGCGGTCCACTACCGCACCGGCTAGTTGCCAAGGGTAGACAAAGACAAAACACTTCCAACAAATCCATCCTTCAACGCTCGCGGCTAAATCCTTTGATCTCCCTGCATAACCAATCCATTCCCATTGTCCTATTCAAAGCCCTCTTTGTCTATTTCTTCATTAGTATCTTTACTCATTTCCTCGTTGTGTAGGGGTGCCGTCTCCAAAGTCCGGTCTCGGGCCAGATTGCTTGCTTTCCTCGAGCGCATATCTGTTAATGCTTCGCTTTCCTCATCTATCCCATCATCAATCGCGTCTTCCGATATCCCCCTATCGTGCCCGGCCGGGAACTCCAACTTCTCCGTCAGTTCGTGTTGCAGCGAGTCCATCGTCTCCCGAGCAATGGCGAACTGTGATATGCCCTGGCCATGAGGCAACGTTTCGTACATTCTCTTAGCTTCATTGAGGCATCGTTGAGCAGGAATATGCTTGGACTGTTGGGCCCAAGCTCTAGCTGCAAAGACGCTCCAAGCAGCCGATTTCCGCCGTCGGCTCCCCCAGCTCCAGCTGCCAACGCCCTGCCTGGAGGCATAGCAGATTGCCAATCGCTCTTTGACCAGCGCATCGCCGATATTACCCAAAATCTTTGATTCGAGTAGACGGGTACACCATCGCGCGGCATCATCAATACTGGATCCTCCCCTTAACCGCAAGAGCTCTTGAGCCAATATCAAAGTTCTTGTCGCCCCGTATGGAGAGCTACACCGTGTATTATATGAGTAGAATGCTGACTCTAGCATTTGGTCCACAGTCTCCGCGCGGCTCTTAGAGGTCAATTGCTGTGGCATTAGAAGAAGACTAAGAGCTGCCATTTCATTCGTCGCGGCGTGATATTTCCAAGCTTTGGATTCACTAAAGTCGGATCGCAGCAGATCGTATGTGGAATGCGCCAACCTCCAGTCGCGCAGCATAAAGGCAAAATCAGCCAGCTTTCGCATGATGGCTTCTGATGTATCGGCCCTGTAGAAGCCAGAGGGGTCGTAGCCGTCTCTGCTGGTGCTGGTGCCGCTAGAGGAAGATCGTGAATTACTGCCAAACCCCGTCCATCTCTTTGATAAGCTCATAAACCTTCCCGTAATTCCCTTGCGTTTAGAGGCTACTTGGTCATTCCAAATAGTGGCGTGCCGCTCCATGGTAGGGATAATGGACTGCATTACCATTTCGCGGATAAAAGTGCGAATAGCAGTCGCATCAGACTCAAATATGTACCGCGATGGATCCTCAAAGTCTTCATCATCTTCGCTTCGGCGAATTTCTGCCAGTTCTTCGGTAGCGGACAACCAATCACTTCGGGGCAATGGGATGCTGTCATCATCGGTTTCCGCGCTCTGGCTACATCGTAGCCGTAATAAATGGCAATGAAGCCCGAGATGTCGCTTCATCTGCTCAAATAGTCCCATAGACCTTGCGATGTCGTCGTTCTCTTCGTCGTGGACCAGGACATAATACCTCAGATAGTCCCCATCTACCCATGAAGGCAATTTCTTTTCGCCTTGGCTGGTTTCAGTATAGAGTCGCCGCAGTTCTTCGATTGGGGCTGCATTGCGGGAGCTGATAGCTATGATGCAAGCAACAGGATGAGCAAACGTTTCGTGTGCTGAAATCGGCAGCCCCGACAAGAGTCTTCGTAGGTATAAAGCATAGTATGGGGATGCCGCCTCGGAATCAGAGCCGTTTTTAGTCATGATACTCTGATGTGGCATTCCGAGGAATGATTCCTCTGCATACGAGAGATGACGCTCAACGACAGCCTCGATATCGTTCAAGGCCGACCTGTTTCCGGCATCTCTCTCTTGCGTTCCATTCTGACTCCGAGGCGCCTGTGTTTGCTGAGATCCCGCCGACAGGGCATCTGGGCGCTCTATGTTTCCGCCAAATCGTGTGAATCGTATAGAAAAATCCTCCACTATTCGTCCAACGCCGTTGCTGTCCCTAATATTAACCTTGCCCTGGATATTCTCACCAAACGGCCGCAATAGCTCCCACAGTCCAAGTTGAAACCCTTTCTCGCCTATTAAAGCCTCCGTATCCCGTGAGGCATAGACGGCAACATGAGGCACAAACGACTTTAGGATGAGGTTCAATGGTTCGCCTGGGTCGTCCCCGACATTTTCTGGTAATCCACGGTTCTGACCAATATCAAAAACAGTGCCTGAGAGAACTCGTGAAGGAGATCCTCGCCCTGCTGGTGACATAGATCTTGAGCCCGGTGGCGACAGCGTAGAGGCGTATAGGGAGGCAGCGGTCGACCTTCGATAGACTAGTGTTGAATCGGAAGGTGAAGTTGGAAACGGTTCGATGGTCGAAGTCGAATGTCTCATATAAGAGAACTTGGCAGCGGAGGCCGCAGCGGGCAACGCCTGAATCGGTTCCGTAGACGATTCATCTTGAGGCCGCGGCATGAAGGCGACTTGGTGCGGTGGTTCCGCTGAGACAATTCAGACGCTGGTAGAGACTTCATGCGGAATCAGAGGCTGAAGTGGGATCGCAAACGTCGGATGTCGCAATACGGCTCTGCATATTCCTCTTGAGAAGCGAGCTGGCGCATATGCGTTGAGAGATGTCACTTACGTATCAAATGCCACGGTCGGTCCTCATGATATCCAAAGCCCCGACTTCTACTATTAGAATAGAGTTGCTCCACATTTCTGTACCGGGGTGACGGGTTTCCGTCTAGCTTCGATATCTGCATATCTAATAGCTGCAGAGCGCATAGAGGAAGTACCAAGTACCGTTTTCTGTACAAGCATTCGTGACCTTCTAGCAGCAGCTCTTTATACTTCGACCCATAGCGCTTCTTCTACACCTCCTTCTTCTTCCACGTATCTTTTTTAACTGATTTTCTTCATTTTTCTCATATATTATGGCCGATCTATCCAACTATCTCGCATCAAGATATCTTGTTGCTGATCCAAAGCCATCCAAGAAGCGCAAGCGCAAGCAAGAAAAGGCACCTTCGGGACTTCTCATCACCGACGACGACGACGATACAGCCTGGAATAAAGGCACCAAACAAGATGCCGATGACGAGGATGGCCCATTGACTGTCTCAAATATCACAGCTGAATTTCGCAAGTTGAAAAAGAGCAATTGGAAGACTGTAGGGGAGGGTGGAAGTGCCCCAAATCAGGATGACAGCGCGGCGGCTGCAGATGCCATTATCGCTTCAGCTGCGGCCGAAAACGATGCAGCAAGGGAGGCTGACGATGAGCTACCGGTCGTTGAAGGCGATGGAAGCGTAGTGAAGATGAGCGATGGAACACATGCCGGCCTGCAAAGCGCTGCATCAGTCTCGGCACAGTTGAGGCGGCGGCAGCAAGAAGAACGCGATGAATTCGAACGCCATCGGAAGAATGCAAAAGAAGAAGAGACTGTTTATCGAGATGCTACCGGTCGACGAATCGACATATCTATGAAGAGAGCAGAGGCACGGCGTGCAGCTGCGGAGGCTGAGGAAAAAGAGAGGCTCGCCAAGGAGTCTCTCAAGGGCGAGGTCCAGCTGGAAAATGCGAGACGACGCAGGGAAGAGCTGGAGGATGCCAAGCTCATGACTTTTGCGCGCAAGGCCGACGACGAGGATATGAACCGAGAGATGATGGACCAGCAAAGATGGAGCGACCCCATGAGGCAGTTCATGGCCGAGAAGGACACACACCGAGGAAGCAGGAGCTCGAAACGTCGCCCTGTCTACTCAGGAACAGCAGCCCCTAATCGATACGGCATCAAGCCAGGATACCGATGGGACGGCGTGGACAGAGGTAATGGTCTCGAAGCAGAGCGGTTCAAGGCGATAAATCGGCGTGAACGCAACAAGGGACTGGACTATGCATGGCAAATGGACGAGTAACAATAGTGTGTACGAATATTTGAGATACCCTACGAGAACTAGGATTATATAGCCTGGCATCAAAGTAATCGGCGTGTCATCGCCGCAGTTTTCCTTTTTCGTTTATCTTAAGAAACACACAAGATGGAATCCCGCCATCAGGCTCGTGACTAACTGCTATTCCCTGTTTCACTCTTAAACGGCCTCTGATCAAGCATAGTGATTATGTATGAGATCTTCCCAACCTTGATCGAAAGTATCCATATGGCCGTTACTTTCTACGTCGCAAACGCTTGTCGGAGCCATAGTCGCACAGTTGCCTGACAAGCGTAATCCACTCCCCTCTGGGCATGCGGCCCGGTCCATCTCCAACACGACCCTGGAACAAGTTGATGAGTTCACCAATCGTTATTCCATCCACGGGTATCTTCTCCAATATTTCCCACGGTTCGATCAGTCCACCAGTTAAGGGAGGAGAACCACCTGTAATATCCACTATTAGTTACGAGGAAGATGGAAAGGCATCTAGCAAAGAGGATTGTAAGGAGCTTACCAGCTGGGGCGGGATTTGGACTGCCAGCCCTAGATGCAGAAGGTGTTCCCCTTGAGCTTCCAACAAGCTTAATCTTCTTCTTCTGCATCGCGCCATCCGACATCTCACCCGCAGTGACCTCTCCATCACTTCCAGAGCCGGCTGCAATCTTAGGACGCCGCACTGTGGTTTGTGACAGTCCAGGAGTGCTTGGTCGGCTTCCGAGAGCCGCGGCAGATGTCTTCTTCTGCTTCTTCCTAGTCGACTCATTGCCGCTCGATTCTGACAAGGCAGGTGAGCCGGCACGCTTCAGAGACTTTCCTTTCTTCACCATCTCGGAGAGCTTCTGTTTGCCTTGTGGGGTGGTGGACCCCTTGGCATTTTGTAACTTGGACTTGTCCTTGGCATCGCCCTGACTATCCTTGTTATCTCCGTCCTTCTTTTCATCTTCTTTTCCGGCTTCCTCCTCCTCGTCAGAGCTGTCCTCGGCGCTCTGGGGACATGTCAGTCATAAAGTACGCCAATTGTGTCACGAGGATAGATAGACTTACCGAGCTGCTCCAAGGATTAGAACTAGAGTTGTCGCTTTCGTATATTTCCTCACGATCTCTCTTAATGAGAGCTTTTTTCGTGGTCTTGCCGTATTTTTGTCTCTCCAGCTCCTCCCTTAGCTGTTCTTGCAGTTCTTTGTCCACTTCTTGCTCATCTCCATCACCAAACAGATTCGCTCCCAACTGTTCACGTCGAATTCGATCCTTGGACTCTTTTGCATCCTCATCGTCGTTCCGCTCAAAGTGAGGGGTCTCATCATCATCTTGGAATTCATCACCTGAGATGTCCAGCTCATCATGCTCCATCTTCTCCGCGCGTGAAGCAGCCTTGAAGGTATCACTCTCTGATTTGATCATTTGACCTCGGCCGTACAACATCCGCCGTGTAGCTTCGAGATCGTTCAGGCCGGCCTTCTTCTCTTCATCTTTCATGACCCAACGACCGACGTCAACCTTGCGATTCATGAAAGCCTCAGCCTGGTCAATCGTAAATGGCTGAAAGGGCGGTTTGGCGTTGAACTTGTAAGATTTTTCCAATGGAACCATGCGGAAAACCGACTTGTCAATCATGAATGCAACACTGGATTCGGAAAGAGCAGCCACATAACTGCCTACCCACACGTTTTTCCCATCTGCGTCTTCTAGATGCCATGGTAGAGCCTCTTCATATCTCAAATCGGACTCCTTCTTAGCTGCTGATGTCTTTGGAGCTCGGTTGAACATTGTTTTCTCCTCCTTTTGTTTCTTTGGGCGTTTGGGGACCACCTCTTTGGCCACCGGAGCAATTTTGGCTTGATCAATAGCCCTTTGCGCTTCCCTTTCTGCCTTGACCTGCGCCAGTCTTTCTGCCTCTTGCTCATCTACCGGGGGTCGTTCAGGCTCCTCCTCCTTCACAGCCCTCCCTGGAGGAGGTTGGCGGGCATCACGCCGATGCAGCGTGACGGGTCTAGCAAATTCGTCTTGGTCTGTCGGATCAATAGGTTTGTCTCCCAATTTGGTCTGAGAGAACCTCATGAGATGATATCGGATTCCATCGAGGAGAGCTTTCTTGGTCGTCATGATTGGGATGTCGCTGAAAGTATAGGGAGGGGGCGGCTCGCTCCATCCGCCATATTGTTTCCGTAGCTCCTCGATGTTGGGCTTAGCCCCATTCGCGGCGCCTTGAGCTGAAGTCGATGGCGCACTGTTCGTAGGCGGTCGATTGGGCTTGGGGCCTGGTTTGCGAGACGATGCGACGAGTGGGTTGACAGGCTTCTTCCGAAGAGGACGCAGGGGATTGGGCTTTTGGCTCCGCGGAGCGCCATTGGGATTTCCAGCAGGGGCGCTCATTTCGATGCCGTGATGAGCGCTAGCTTTCGATGTCTTAACTGAGCAAAAAAGGCACGCGGCCTCTTTGCACGAGGTTGTCGTGCCTCCGCAGCCGAACAAAGAGCTGCAGCTGATTGCTACAGCGTGTTACGTGAGAAAGCGTCGTGTCAGAGTGCGCAATTCATGCGGTCCGCAGCAGATGAGACAACGGATAAATTGAACGAGGGATGCTGCCGCAACACAGCTGTGAGAGAAGTGGTGTTGAAGATTGATGTGAAGAGGATAGAGGCGGCAGATCCTCGAGAGCTAGGCGTTGCCTACTACCTACCTAGTAGCGGTCCTCTAGGGCGGCGGCCGGAGAACTGCCGCTGCCTATGACGCTTGATGACAAAGGGCTGAAACACGATTGTTTGCACCCTCTTAACACCCACTCAGGAACACCACTCAGAACCACCAAGATTACATACTACGAAAGTACAGGTAGAGTTGAAGAAAACGCCCAAAAATAAACATTGAATGGAACAGGTAGTTTAGTACTTAGTAGGTAGTGTTTATCACCCCGGGGATTGAGTAGAGTTCAAGTGATGGAACAAGATACAAAGGCAACCTGGAGGCTCTTCGTCAATTACAGGCCCCTTGGCACTTTTGCCAGTATCGCTACCTCAGTAGTACTCACTTCTGGAATCTACTACTACAGCTGTATTCCTCTGATATCTGCTATCGCAGCTATATTTCTTTAAATCTTCTACCATAGCTATATTTCTCTAGTACCTTCCAGTAAATTTTACTGCATCAATGCTTCAAATATGAGAACTGCCAGAGCTACCTTGGTACGGATACCTTGCTAGGTCGGTCCCAGCTCAATGCCGTCCATATTATAGCGGGCCTGTGTCATGCAGCAGCTGAGGCCGATCCTTTGTACCTTGGCCGACGGTACCTGCTAAGACTAAGCGCTGGCAGCGTTGCACTAACAGCTTGCGGGCATCTTCCAGCTCCGCTTCTCCAAAGTAACTTCGTGGTATCTGTTTCTTGAATTTCCTGCTTCGAAAATAGCTTTGTGTACCAACTTGGTACCTGTTTGTCTCGCTTCCCCTCTCTCTTATCAGGTGCTTTAAAACTTACATATCAGAAGATTGGAGCTATCCTGCGGTACTGAGGATGTCAGTTGTAAAGATAAGATACCAAAGTTTTTAAATTGCTGAAAGCTCGCCACTGCTTCAATTTTCACACATATCCATTCATTGAACAAGATGCTCCCTTATCAACGAGAACGTGGTGTCGAGGGCGATGGCTCGGCCCTAGGGCTTGAGGGTCAATTGCGAAATATGATTCTTACAAACGCCAATGCCAATGCCAATGCCAATGCCGATGCCAATGCCAACCAAAACACCAACCCAGCAGTCACTCCGTCCACGTCGTCAAGAAGACGCCCAAATCAAGCTCAACGACGTCAAATGTCTCAACCCTTCACAGTTGCTCCCGAGCCTCGACAGCAGCAGCCCCCGACTAGGGCTCCTGTCCAATGGCCTCCGCCGCAGTCTCGTTCAACCTCAGGCCCGAGATCCTCGGACTTTCCTCGTTCACGGAACTCGTGGAATGGTCCTCCACAGGCACCTGCGAATAGGCCTCAGTACCAGAATCCATCGACAATGAGACAATACAACGCAGCCTCGTCTCACAGTGGACATCACCAGAGCACAGGGTCGTTCCATTATCAACATCGCTCCATCAGGCCTGAAGAAATCGCGAGTCAGGCTCGTCTGCTGGACATGTTATGCCATCAAGTTTTGGCTCACTCCGAAATCGACAGGTCCGAAATAGCTGAAAAGGAGGCTTTTCGTCAACGTATAGAGCATATCTGTCGCGAAGTCATTAGCCAGTATGAAGAACAACAGGATGTGAACAGGATCCCCCCTTTCTCTGTGGAACTGAAGTGTTTTGGCAGCTTGTCTTCTGGCTTTGCTACAAAGGCCTCTGACTTGGACCTCGGCTTGATATCGCCTCTGTCCAAGATTCCACCTGATGCTCCCGGATCCCCTATACCTCGACTAATCGAAAAGGCATTCCTGGAAGCAGGGCTTGGTGCCAGGCTTCTAAGTCGCACGAGAGTCCCGATTATCAAGATATGTGAGCTCCCTCCGGAAGACCTCTTTAAAGGTCTATTGGAAGCGCGAGAGAAATGGGAGCGTGGCATCGATAAAGAGACCCAATCCGGAGCTGCTGAAATAGAGCCTGACAATGACGGCTCTGTTAGAGGCGAAGATGAAGATCACGAACAAAGCGGAGGCGCCGAGGCTGGTTCAGATTCGTTGGGTGAATTTGAGATACTCTGCAAGGACTCTACTGAACCACAGCGATTTCGACTTCAACAAGGCCCTAAAAACTCACTGGATTCCTATTATGGTCTGGCCAAGCGCATTTTAAGGAGAGCTGGTGGCTACGACATTACTGCTTCAAACTCCAAAGATTTCACGGCAGCCGACTGGGACATTCTAAACCGTGTCTGTTACGCATTTGTCCAGGGGCTAGCGGACGATTCTTTGCGGGATCATGTTGCCAGACTTCCTTCCATCGCTGCAGCGAATGCCCGTTCAAATTCACTCGACCATCGCTCCCTTTTTGGGGTATTTATGCAAGTAGAGGGAGAAAACATACTACGCCGATGGAAATCATGGCGCGAGGGGCTCCCTCTAAGACAGCCTGAGGATGACAAAGTCATAAGGCAATGGGAATCTCTGCAACTTAGGTCACTACCAGATATCGAACCGGTCACATACAACAGAGAACTTCAGTTGGCCCTCGAGAAGCTCAAGAAAATTCCCTCCGTGCAACTATTGATGTTTGAGCAAGATCAACAAGAGACACCTTCGCAATATTACACCAGGATAAGGAGCATCGTAAACAGTTTAGGAAGCTCTGTATGTGCACCTCAATCAACCATAACCAGCCGATATGTTGTTGGGGTATTTCGCGAAGAGATACGAGATCAACTGAGCGGTTATCTCGAACAATTCCCGGAACAGGCAACGATTCAAGCGGTGGGATGTCGCCATAAAAGTATTCATCTGGCCAATGAATTTGAGAGAGCTATTGAAAACAACCTATACGACGCTTCCGTCGTACCTGCTATCAAGCGCTATATTGAAATACTGCGGCAGCCCCTCGAGAAGAGAATGATGGCGCCTGGGTTGTCATATTATGTCGTATCAATCCCCGCCGAGTTCTCTTCAGATTTCGATAAGATCAAGACCCTTACTGATCCCCATACAATGGCACCAAATCAATCTGGTCAGAGGCAACGAGATCCGCTCGAGTTTCCCAAATCCGACGTTGGGGTACAATGCGACATCAACTTTTCCGCCCACCTGGCTCTCCAGAACACCCTCTTGCTACGCTGCTACTCGCATACTGACCCGAGAGTCCGACCCATGATCCTATTTGTCAAGCACTGGGCGAAAATGCGCGGCATCAACTCTGGATATCGTGGGACTTTGAGTAGCTATGGTTACGTGCTGATGGTACTGCATTATCTCGTCAATGTTGCGCAGCCCTTCGTGTGCCCCAATCTCCAACAGCTCGCGCCAGCGCCTCCCAACAACTTGACTCCGGCCGAGATACAGACCACGATAAGCTGTCGAGGCTACAATATCCAATTTTGGAGAAACGAGGAAGAAATCATCAGACTGGCATCCCAAAGTCAGCTCAACGGGAACACTGAAAGCGTGGGGCATTTACTCAGAGGATTTTTCGAGTATTTTGCTCAAACCGGCATGATGGGCAATGGTCTCAGTAGAGGGTTTGATTGGGGCCGCAATGTCATTAGTTTGCGAACTCATGGGGGCATTCTGACAAAGCAAGAAAAGGGCTGGACGGGGGCAAAGACTGTATATGAAGTCCAGAAGACAGAGGCCGATATTCCTCACGCACCTCATGCACCTCCACGCCCGGATACTCAACCTCCGGCGTCTCCACAGGCTGCCAAGAATGGGGAGGTCAAAGAGATCCGACTTCGATACCTCTTTGCCATTGAAGATCCATTCGAAATAGATCACAATGTGGCACGAACGGTGACACACAATGGCATCGTCTCGATCCGCAATGAGTTCCGCCGAGCTTGGAGGATACTTCGCGGCGCCGGGAATGGGAACATTGCTCAAGAGAATCTGTTGCAGGACGTTGAAGACGAAAAGGAGGCCCCTATTGCACTTCTGCAATTACTTGCAGATATACATGAACCTGTTCCAGTATAAAAAAAAACCCTGATCAATAGAAGATTTTTTTTTTTTTCCCCAAGCAGCTATCCAGCTCCCTAGCGACTGTGTGGAACTTGAGTGTAAGAAAACGAACTGGAAAGCCTTTAATTAACTACTAGGCACCGTTCTTATTTACCGAAGTGCCTATAAGAAAATAGAACCCTTAGATATCTGCTGCTGTTACTATATTCTCTCTGCTGCTACTTCTATCATCTTCTTATATCTCCGTTTTCTTCTAGTATCTGCTACTTTCTTTTAATCTCTCCTACTTCCTTTCAATATTTCCTACTTCCTTTTACTATCTCCTACTTAAGTTATATTTTCCTAGCAGCTGGTGTTATCAGCAGCTTTAAGATTAAGACACGGAATGCTGGATGGCCAACTCGGGTTGCTGAATACATAGTATCTCCTCTTATAACTGGGCTGCAAATTGATATCTGCCAGTTCTATTGATCATCCCTACTTTTGATAGTGCCCATTCAGCCCCCGAGGGTAGAAGAACCTTTCTAGAGGATATTCTATACGATGGCTGATTGATGCTCTTGTCGATTCATGATGGGAACATAGGTAGCATACACACCTCCTAGACGAATGCGAAAAGGGGATCAGATCTAGTACAGGTATTCATGTATCTATGGAGAGGGCATTGAACATGTTTCCTCTGTTTGCACTAGAATTATTTGACTTCTTGTTCGTCTTCTTGCTTATACCTTGCGACTTGCCTCCCCGCTTGCTGGGCTTTTTGTCCTCTGATTTCGGACGAGAATTTCCCCCCTGATATGGTGCTGGCTCAAAAGTTATAAACTCTGATAGAACGTTCAATATCTGATGTTCTTTTGATGTCTTCAAGAAATCAGATAGCAAACAAACATTTGGAAATCCGCTGAGAGGAGGGAGCTCCGATAAAATTTCGACAATTTGGATGAGGTTGAGCGTGAACTCATCTGTGCTGTTGGTATCGACGATTACAGAAGATAGCACTTGGCTCAATATGCGGAGCGAATACAGCCCGGCTTGAATGTGTGCGCTAAAGTGAATTACATCCCAAGAAGTTTTATCCCCAGCAACAGCCAAGCTGCCACCACTTTGTTGAATCGTGATTAGTGCATGTGAATTCTTGCCTTGCTGGTTGCATTCTATAGCATCCAGTACCACGCACAGCAGGACCCATCGATACTGCTGTGCTATATTTGTTTCCCTTACTCGTCTCAAAAGCTCCAGCAGCTCACTAGCCGCTATATTCGCCTCATCGCTGGATAGCAGCGAGATTTCTCGTCCCTTTTGGTTGATGTTCTGCACTCTTCTGTATTCCTCAACTGATATAGAGCAGCGGCATTGAAGATAGCGGCACGCCACCGTGTAGGCCAACGTCCGGGCATGCGCGCTTGCGTCCCATGACGTGCCTTTTGTGGGATTTTCGAACAAGGATGGGAGAAAGATCTTGGCCTTCACTCGGGCGTTCTTGACTTTAGGCGCCTGCCCAATCTGGAGGAGCAGTTCTGACACTCTGGGATCAAGGGCGCTCAATGGGAGCAAGCTACCGCCCACCAAGTGCGGTACTGGGGCGCTTTCGTGGTGGACATACTGTTGACGAAAATGATCATAGTCCAGAGCATCTGCTATAGGTTTCGAGCAGGCCTTTAGCAGCATGGGAAGCGTTGCGTTGGGGGAACGCAGCCGTTCATACCCCAAGCGACAGGCTTCCACGGACTTTGACAGCCCTATTTTCGTGTATATCTCACGAGGGGTATACACCGTGCAAGCCAACATTGAGTTAGCATTCTCATGGACATCCCGGAAGAAGACAACTTTGCCATTGCCAAGATCATGAGCAAGTAGATCCGAGTCTGAAGTCAAGATTGTGCCACCATGCTTCGCAACGTCTGAAGCGCAGTAGCCGTCCGCCTCTCCAGGAATAACGAAGCATTTCCCTCGGTATCGAGGACTACCCCGGATAGCATCAATGATTGCGGGCACAAGAAAGCCCGGGTCCATGGAGGTTTTGTCGGTGAATCTTCCTGGGCGGTTTGCATCCAGATATATATCATTTGTGGGAACCACATGCTTGCGAGGACAAGCCATGGAATTTGAAGAGTAGAATAAGTTGAGCCGGGAAGTTAGTTTCATCACCCTCTCCATGCGGACAGGCTGCTTGGACTCTGGCAGATAGCCATCGAAGTATATGGCTCGACTGTTGCAGCGTTAGCTATCATCTTAACTTGCTACTTTCTCGATTTGGGAAGAAGCTGACATGGTCACTCGCTGATCTTCCAGACGATCCAACCACTCAATGACGAGTCGACTGAGAAGGCCATATGACGGCTGAATGGCCCCTTGAAATCGGCAGAGATGAAGAATATGATAGGCTAATGCTGGGCCATCAATGACCACCACTTGATGCTGGAGAATTTCGTGGGAGGCATAGTTCTCCAGGGTGGTAATCAGATGAGGAATCCCCATGCCGACCAAATCTCATCAATTCAGGAAGATGCTGGACCCTTAATATGGGATACTTGGTAGGTAGTCATTAATATCTTTCCAGAAATTACATCGGCGGCAACATGTTTTTGTGGAACTGGTGGTTGGTCAATCGGAAAGCCAATGCATGCCCGCATAATGATAAAGCTCGCGATAATCAGACATGATTCACTTGCTGCAGCTGAGTCGCCCCGCCATGGTGATCTGTGCCCAAATCGCACTGTGTTGTTGTGTGGGAGGCTGCAACATCTAAACGATTGACGGTCCATCAAAAGAACATTGAACCAATGATATTGGCGCAACAGTAGATTGCACCGTAGCCTCACGTGCAATCCACACAGTATCATTGCCTGGGCCCCACGCCTAGAGAAAGAAAAAAAAAAGCTCCTCGTCTCACCCAACTTTTTCTTTCAAACTTTTTTTCCCCTTCTCTCCCCAAGGGTCGGTCGCAATGCGCAACACGCTCATTTTCGCCGGCAACTCATGCCCAGCTCTCACAGGCCAAATATGTGAGAACTTGGGCATGACTCCTGCCCAAGCGGAGCTGACCCAGTTCTCCAATGTGAGCTCCCTGTAGCTCTTCGTTGCCGTTTCTTGTTCCTTGACTGTCGGCCTTGGCAGTATACTAACTGACTCCCAAGGGCGAGACAAGTGTCCGGATCCTAACAAGCGTCCGAGAGAAGGATGTCTTCGTCGTCCAGTCTGGGAGTCCCAGAATCAACGACTCCATCATGGAGTTGCTCATCATGATCTCTGCTTGCAAGGGTGGCTCTGCCAACAAGGTCACAGGTTCGCTCAACGGGCACCGGCTCTGCTGTGGAACATTGCTGACGTTGTTTCGCAGCTGTGCTCCCGTACTTCCCCTACAGCCGACAGTCCAAGAAGAAGTCTCCTAGAGGGGCTATTACCGCAAGGATGCTGGCCAACTTGCTCGGCGTTGCTGGAGTCAAGCACGTCATCACCGTGGACCTTCATGCCTCGCAGATGCAAGGCTTCTTCAGGTGTCCCGTCGACAACCTCCACGCTGAACCCATCATTGCCAAATGGATCAAGCGAAATGTTCCAAACTGGCGAGAGGCTGTGGTGGTGTCCAAAAACCCAGGAGGAACAAAGCGAGTTACGTCACTCGCAGATGCTCTCAAGCTGAATTTTGGGCTGGTCACCACCGAAAGGAGACGCGGGACAACCATGACGGGCAGCTTGATCATGAACCATCTTGATGGGCTTGATCGGCGGTCTGAAATCGGGGAGTCGGCGCAGAGCGAAAGTCGGCTTGACAAGCCCGCCCCAAGTCACGATAGAGCAAGGACCCCCGTTAGGAGTACTAGAGTCGTAACCGACTCGCAAGGTTCGCCTATTCGGTCTAGCGATTTGTCGACAAGTGCGACGAATCTTGCTGATCCTGTTGCAGTAGCTCAACCCGCAACACGGCGAAAGAGCGCTGTGCAGCTCGACTCTGACTATGATGATCGTCGTGCCCAAGAAGTCATTCACGGCCGGCTGATTCAAGGTCACATTGTCGAGGATGACTTCCCATCTCCAGGACGATCTACGGCGGGTAACAGCGTGCAGGGCGATGATCCGATGACCATGTCTCATGCTTCATCATTCTTTGCGCCCGATCGTCAGTCGCTGGCCGGTGGCGCCAACGGCGAAAGCAGCTCCGACGAGGAAGACAATGCTTTTGAGGATCCCAGGGCAGAGCACATGATCACACTGGTGGGAGATGTGAGAAATCGCACCGTCTTCATAGTCGATGACATGATTGACAAGCCAGGGTCATGGATCGCTGCGGCTGAGACCGTGGTTAAGAAGGGCTTGGCTAAGAAGGTGTACTGCATTGCTACCCATGGTGTCTTTGGCGGAGACTGTCTGGAGCAACTGCAAGCATGCGAGTGCATCGACACCATTGTTGTTACCAACAGCTTTCCCATCAATGAGGAACGAGTGAGAAACTCGAGTAAGCTGGTCATTTTGGATCTCTCATTTCTCCTGTCTGAAGCCATCCGCCGAAATCATTATGGCGAGTCCATTTCTCCCCTGTTTCAACATATCGGAGATTGAATAATGGAAGGACGTTGATTGCAACGTGTAAGCTGAAGACGATTTGCCGCCTCTTTTCAAGACTATTCATGGCCTGGCTGGACGGGTCCCTCCAGTTGTTTCATTTTGTTTTAGCGTGGCGTCTTTGGATTGAGGAAAGGAAAGAGAAACAAAAAAAACGGATTCATGCTTTGTATGAACAAGGTCAGTCAATTGATGAATAACGACGAGTCTCGTAGAAGATTGCCCCTTCTCCAGGCATGTGAAGGTTTTACCCATTATCTCGTGTGTCTCAACAAACACAACCCAGCGGTGCTGTCCTTGTGGCAGCAAGAGTCCGATTCATCTCAGAATGGATTCTTAACGGAACGTTGGTAGATCAAATTTTCGTTCTTAGAAGGCCCCTGATTCTTTTCCAGTTTCGGCTGGTCCGTGGGTCAGGGGCAAGAGAAATTTTCGAACATTTCAATGCAGACACATAGAAATTTGCAGTTTTACAAATCCAATATAGTTGCCAGATGTTTAAGATACTTTCATTTATTTTTAATCTACTGAATGTGCATATTTTACCTTATATCGATGTGCCCATATGTCTATACACTCGTTTTATCTAAGTTGGTCGGCGATGCATGATAAGAGCAGATGCCTTTTCGCCCGGCAGTAATCAGCAAGCGTCAAGCAGGAATCGAGAAAACGAGAGGTACATACCTGGTGGTTGGGGTAGAGCAGAGACTCAGCGACGACGACATTCTCGCGTCTGGTGGCGGCGAAGACAATGACCTCAGCAATGTCTTCAGGAGTGAGGGGGTCGCAGCCACTGGTGGTGTGTGTCAGTGCCCATATAATAAAGTGATGATATAATCCGAACGGCAGAGAACGGGTGAGATCTTACGCATAGACAGCATCGGCTTTGGCCTTGTCACCGTAGAAACGAACAACGGAAAATTCCTAGTGGCAGCTGTAAGCAAATGTGCAAGCTTGATTTTGGTACCTCGAGCTGCCTTACCGTTTCAACCTGGCCAGGGTCAACCTCGATGACCCTGATTCGAGTGGCGATAAGCTCCTTTCTCAAGCTATCCGTGAAGCTTCGGACGGCGGCTTTGCTGGCGCAGTAGATTCCGCCTCCGGGGTACGGCTCACGTCCTATAAAGAAACAAGAGATTAACATCACAGATTAAGGTGAAAGGATGAGAGAAGAGTCGTGTGTGGGGGGGGGGGGGGGGGGGGGGGGGGGGGGGGGGGGGGGGGGGGGGGGGGGGGGGGGGGGGGGGGGGGGGGGGG